GGAATGTTAGTAAACATGGAGCTTTCCTGGTTCCTGAGTCAACATAACATCAATAAGGGCTTAGCTTCTTGTGGGGAGACTATAGCATCTAGGCCCAGTATCCTTGGAAATTATCTATGCTTCTTGCCTTACAGAATACCTGTTACTTGTACTGCTTCATGAGATTAATTTGAGAATTAAATGAGAGAATGCATGTTAACCAATATAAAAGAAACCAAGTTACTGCTGTGTTTGAATTAGAATTATACATTTTAATTCATATTCTTAAAATTGTGGTGCTTAGAAGAAAAGATTAGACTGTTGTTTCCCTATTGCCTCTCCATCAATGGGGTGTTGGAGAACACACAGTTTGGAAGAACAAAGAAATGAAGAAAAATGGAAAACAGTACATTAGTTATATCAGTTATAATTTATAGAATTAATGAACTATATATCTGTTGTTCTTTACTTAGAATTTGTTCTTTACTTAGAATTAGTTCACAAAACATGTAATATTTCCTATCTTCTTCCACAAAAATTTTATGACTATTTCAATTTTTGCACATAAGACTCATAAGCCTATAGGAGTTAACTCAATTTTTGAGGTCAATAGGTTATTGAATGAATATTTTTAACATAACCGACTATGCTATATCCCAAGAATGCACGAATAGTTTAATATTGAAAATGTATTATCTATCTTAAAACTAGGTCAAATCAGGAAAAAATAGATATAAATTAATGATACAATAATCATACCCTTAAAACCATCCCAGTAAAAATTAGTTAAAAGATATAATGGAAAAATCACTTCAGTCATAATTAGCAACAAAAACCATGTAACTAGGAATAACCTTAAAATGAAATGTGAGTTTTATTGTGCAAATGTGAAATTTACACACCCACCCACATAGATCTGAATAGAGAAAAGACCATGTTCTAAAACTGGAAGACAAAATTAACATTAATTCACCCCAAATTAATTTATAAATATAGCAAAATCTAGCAAAATCCCAATGGGAATTGTTTTTGGAGAGTGAGGGGGAAATTGATAATAACTCTAAAGTTTATCCTTAAAATAAACAGAACTAGCTGAAAATGTTTTTGGGGAAAAAATGGCCAGATGATGAGGTGAATTATCAGTATTAAAACATACTTTAAAATAATGATAATTAAAACAGGGTAGTACTGGTACAAGAATAGACACACATGACTAGAAATAAATAGACCAGAAGGGGCACAAGAAACTATAAGGCATTTATATGTGATAAATTTGGCATTACAAATCAGGGAGGAAAATATAAATTATATTCTCTCTCACCTCATAGAACAGTTGATTAAAGAGTTAGGCATTTTTCTTAAGCCACTAAAGGTTTAAAAAATAAGCAATTAGTTATGGATGGAGAAGGATCTTCTCGTGTAAAAGCAATCGAAGAAAATAGGAAATTATCAATAGCCTCCTTTATAACTAAAAACTTTTCTTCAACAGAAACAAAATTAAAAAGCAAATAACAAACTGAAGATTTTCAACAACTCTGAGAAAGGCTTAAGGTAATTAATATAGGGAATGTTTACAAATCAGTATTAGAAAAGCCCACATCTGTAAAATAAAATTAATTTACAGGCCCAAATATCTTTGACTCAGCCTTGAGTAAATTTCAGTTAAAACCAGAGTTCCCAAGGCTTTTGAGTCTTTTGTTCATGTTCCAAAAGAATTACAAACTATTGACCCAAGTGATTTTGAAAACAAAAAGCACTGGATTAACCCTTAACCTCTTTTGATAGATAAGAAAGGTTAATGAATATTTGCATATCAGTTACTATACAATCTAAATTAAATCTCTCCTTATTTTGTCTCTTGTCACAATGAAGTGATCCTCTGGCCATCTGTTTACTAAAAAGGGCAGTTTTCCTACAACAGTGAAAAGCTTAACAGTTCTAGAATTGTTGACTTGAAACTATGTGTGTTATAACTGCTTTTGTTAGAATGTTTGTTTCAGAAAATACCGTGTATGAACAGTTAAACTTAGAAATAGTTTGTCACAGGGAGCAGATTTGAATCATCAACCTTATGATAATAAACCCTGACTCAACAATTGTAAAGCACAGCTATATTCTTTTAGAATTAAGAGGATCCCTAACATAAAACAATTTTTAAATAGTACAATAAGAGTTTAATCAATTAATTTTAAAACACAATTCAGAATTATTATTTTCCCAGATATACCTTAATATAAAAATGGGCAAGTGATCTGAATGAGCAATTCATAGATAAATAAATACATGTGAGAAAAAATACTTAGCCTCTTTAAAACGGAAATGAAAAAAATTTTTACCTACTTAACTGACAAAAAAGATTTGAAGAATGATTATACTTAGTAAACAAAATGCAGTGTAACAGACATTTTCAGGTTGTTGTTTAGGTATAATATGTCGTATGCTTTCTGGAGGAAGATATAGAAATGTTTTTCGAAAGCTATAAATCTATAACCTTTTATTCAGCATTTCTATTTTTACCCATATTTATAAAAAATATGCTTTACATTTATGTGTAAGATATTCATTCAGCTGGTGTTATTTATGATAATGGCCAAAAAAAAAAAAAGGATCTAAATAGGAAATTGGTTAAGAAAAGTATAGTAAATCCATAGGATAAAATATTTTGCCACCACTAAATAAAATATTTTCAGCTAACTTTTTTAGAAGACAGAAAACTCTTACATGTAATATTGTAACTGAGCAGGATCCTATAGGGCCTTCCCAGGACAGGCCTTCCCCCCCATATTCTGCAAATTTCCTGAGTTGTTTTAGATGTGGACCACCAACACTCCCTCCCCCCCACCCCACTAAATGGAAGATGTTAACTACTTGATGACCATAAGCACAGAGCCCCAGGCCTCCTGGAGCCTAAGGACTGATAAAGTTAACCCCTGTGACATCACCCTGTTCCCTTATCATCAGGCAATCAGAGAATTGTGCGCAATCTGATCACATACCCTGCGACACCCCACCCCCACCCCACCAACCTGGCTTTTAAAAATGCTTTCCCTAAACCCTTCAGGGAGCTTGAGACTTTTTAGGGCATGAGTCTTGCATGGCCTTGCAGTAAACCTTTCTCTGCTTCAAACTCCGACGTTTCAGTTTGTTTGGCCTCACCGTGCGTCGGGCACATGAACTTGTGTTAACAATATTAAGTGAGAAGATTGGAATGAAAAAATTACACAGTATATTTTAATTTTTTTAAAAAAGTGCTATATATGACTGAAGTAAAGATCTAAGGGGAAACACACCAATATGTTTAAGTGGATATTTCTAGATTGCAAGATTATAAGTAATTATTTTTTAAATTCTCCAAATTTTCTCCAGAGAATGGTTAAACATTCTTATCTTAAAGAAAACTATAAAGAACAAAAGATGAGGGATTTCCCTGGCGGAGCAGTGGTTAAGAATCTGCCTGCCAATGCAGGGGACACAGGTTCGAGCTCTGGTCTGGGAAGATCCCACATGCCATGGAGCAACTAAGCCCGTGTGCCACATCTACTGAGCCCATGTGCCACAACTACTGCAGCCCGCATACCTAGAGCCTGTGCTCCACAACGAGAGCCCACCACAATGAGAAGCCCGCGCACTGCAACTAGAGAAAGCCCACGCGCAGCAACGAAGACCCAATGCAGCCAAAAATAAATAAATAAATAAAGTTATTTTAAAAAAATAAATAAAAAGCAAAAGATGAACGAAAAATGTTTTGTTCTAGAAGCTGAACTAGATTCATAGGGTAGCAGTTACAGAGAACTTCATGACAGCAGTCTGGCTATTAGCAGCAGCCTCACAAGAGAGAGAACCATCAGTGAGGATCAGTCTCCATCATCTTCTGAAGGATGCTTTAGAAATCCAGGGGTGATGGGAGGTTGAGTGAAACCATTGCTAATTAGCCTTAGGATTCTGATTCACAGGAGACCTCTAAGAACTACTGCCTAAAAAAATTTCATTTACACCAGCTAGTGGTTTTGACTTTCATGCCAGTTACTGTACCTTGCCTCTTATTCATTTGGCTGTGCTGTGGATAAATGAAGGTTGTATGTAGCTAAGGCTCAAATATACTCCCTTACATGTAGTTATTTCAGTTGGGTGACAAAAATATTTTTTTAGTTCCCTGATGACCTAGCTAGACTGAAACCAGCCTCTGTACCTCGAGACCAAATTAAATCTTGGAGACAGTTTTGGGTGAGGTAGAAAAGAATAGCTTTATTGCTGTGCAAGGCAAAGGGGTTCACAGTGGGCTAATGCCCTCAAAACCATGTGTCCCCACTTGGAGAGGGTAGTGAGAAGTTTTATAGTAATGGTTTAAAGAGGGCATGATCAGCTCGTGGACATTCTTCTGATCGGTTGGTGGTGAGGTAAGTAGGAGTCAGCATCATCAACCTTCAGGTTCCAATTAGTCTGGGGCCTATGTGCTTGCAGGGCAGCATACCATGGTTAATTGTTAACTTCTCCTACCTGGAGGGGGTTTCAGTATCTGCAGAACAGCTCAAAGATATTGCTGTGGGTATGCGTTGACGGGGAGCCAGGACCTTGCCCCAACCAGGCTGTACTATTGTTTCTCCTGACAGTTTGTTTCTCCCTGGTCTCGCATCCCCTCCCTTTCCTCATTAGCAACTGCTTGAATCTGCCCTTTGAAACTCAGGGAAGGTCATGGAGGCTGAATGGAGGCTGTTTCCTGTAATTCAAGAAACGGGGACACAGAAAGCCTTTGTGCTCAGGAGCCCCACAGGGCCCTGCTCGGTATCAACCATGTTACCTTCTTTTATATTATATGGCTTTAAAAAGACCTACCTAAGTATTTCAGACAGTACAAGAACTGGATACAGTGTCCTAGTTGGTTTGGAACCACTTTCTTAGAACTGCTTACACTCAAGAATCTGGAACATCTCTCTCTATTCTAATTAGGTTTTATTTTGCTTAATTTTCCCATTTTTATATTGTTGGTAGGGGATACAGTATAAATTTGTATTAAAAATAGGATTTTTTTCCTTTCACTTTGCTCAATAACTTTGCCTTGATGAATAGTAAAAATTTATTTATTTATTTTGTCTAGGAAATCTATGTGAAGGAGATTCACCTTCATTAAAATCTCATGGTCCTCTTATGATGTTGTTTTTCACATACAATGCCAGTTTGGCCATGAAAAAATTTTCTTTGAGATATTCTTTTCATATGTCTGGTAAGTCTATTACTTTTTTCATATTTGTTTTTGTGTATGTTTGTCTTATTGTGCTTTATTAGAAAATATGTGTTATCAAATAAAGAGACTTGAATTCTTTATTTCATTTGTCAGCTATAGGGGAGAAGAAAAAAACAATATTTAAGATTGTGATTTAAGATTGTGACCTCTGTGGAGGCCTCAGGCTAAACCTCCTTAAGGCATAAGATTGATCAGATTTTTCATTTTTTCTTACAGCAACTAATAATTTTGTCTAGTTTTCTGTATACTTGGAATATTGTAAAAATACAGTAGGAAACTTTCATCCCTAGCCTAAAAGTTTCAAGTAATTTTTCTATTTTGAAATTCATTTCCTTAATGTACTAATATCAAGAGTAATTGGTTCTTTTTTTAACACTTGTTTGGTGGATAGTTCATATATATTAGTTGTAGCCAGATTATTGAAAAATATGCTTTGCCCAACATTCCTATAGTTTTGGTGAAGGGATAGACAGCATTATGAAAATTGGAACTTTTGCAAATTATGGAAATTGGGTATCATGGAAAAAGCATTTGCAATTATGCTTAATTCTGAATAGTTATTAGAATTGCTCTAGTCCTTAAGATTAATCAATTCATACTCATTAAAATTGTTAATTGGAATACAATTGTAGAAATATTTCTACAAAAAACATTATATTTTTTAGTCTGATAATGTGAGAAATGTTGTATGGAGAACACAAAGAAGATTTGCATCAAGTTCAAATTATGTAAGTGAAAGTATACCATACGGGGCTAACATAAAATAGAATAAAATCTCACATTTAAGCCTTTAATTATTCAGACTATCAACAAATTGTTTTAAACTTATGCCAGGCCATGTTTAAAGCACTGAGGATTCACCAATGAGCAAGACAGTCCCTGCCCTAGAAGAGTTTATAGTCTAGTGGGGGAGATAGTCAGTAATCTGTAAACAGAGAAGGACAGAGACTGTTGCTTATCGCCCAGTTCTGCCATGATTAAGCCACTGCAGTAGCTGATGGACAGTGTATTCTGTGCTTCAGAGGGAAGAAACTAAGTTGATAACAGGATGCTCTGTGCTTTGGAAAAGCAGGCCCCTTGCATAATTAGATGTATATCTCAGGAAGAATTTTAATGAACCCAGATTTTGCATTTTCCCATACACAGAAAAGCACTAAAATCATTAACTTCAGATCTCTGTTCTTTGTGACTAGCAGTAGTGTTTTATCAAGACATGTGCTTCACTGCACATATACCCTAGCCAAAATCACATTTAAGCTGGCTTCTCCCTCTACCTCTTCGGAACAGCTTCCTCAGAGCTACTGAGTGGTTGTCCTCAGTAAGACCCTGAGTAAAACAAACTCATAGCTCTTAGGTTGTGCATTTTTCTTTCAGTCAACTAATCAAATAATCTCAGAAAAATATAGAGTGAAAAAACAACTATATTAAGTTTTGAAGGAGATATCTTATTTAGTTCGGTAAAGGATGAGCGTGGAATTCTAGGAAAACTTTAATTTCTTTGTTCTCTTACAGCAAAACACCTTTTTTTTTTTTTTTTTTGCGGTACGTGGGCCTGTTACTGTTGTGGCCTCTGCAGTTTCGGAGCACAGGCTTCGGATATGCAGGCTCAGCGGCCATGGCTCACGGGCCCAGCCGCTCTGCGGCATGTGGGATCTTCTCGGATCGGGGCCCGAACCCGTGTCCCCTGCATCGGCAGGCGGACCCTCAACCACCGCGCCACCAGGGAAGCCCAGCAAAATACCTTGAAATGTATTTCTACTTACTGTCTACCCTTTTACCCTTTCATTTTTTCTTGAATCGATTCCCATAAGCCTTCCTTTCTTACCATTCCCCAGACAGTGTTCTTGCCAAAGCTACCAGTGACCTCCAAAGGTTCAGATCCAACAGTCACTTCTCAGTCCTAATAGCTGCATTTGGCACGGATAAGCTCTTCTTTCTTCTGGAGTTTCATTTGTCATGGCCTCCAGGAAACCACTGTTTCTTGGCTATCCTCTTACTTCACTGGTCTCCTTGGAGTCTCTTGGCTGGTTGCACCTCCTTTTCTCTACTATTAAAAGTTGAGGTGTCCCAGGACCCAGTCCTGACTTTCTTTTCTTCTCTGCCTGTAGTCACTCTTAAATGATCTCACCCAATCCCTAGTTTTAAATACCACTTTACACAGATAACTCCCAAAGTGTATCTCCAGTCCCAACTTCTTTTTTTTTTTTTTTTTTTTTTTTTTTGTTCGTTGGCCTCTCACTGCTGCGGCCTCTCCCGTTGCGGAGCACAGGCTCCAGACGCGCAGGCTCAGCGGCCATGGCTCACGGGCCCAGCTGCTTCGCAGCATGTGGCATCCTCCCGGACTGGGACACGAACCTGCGTCCCCTGCATCGGCAGGCAGACTCTCAACCACTGCGCCACCATCTGAACTACAGTGCTATATATCCAATTGCCTCCCTCTTCATTTGGATATCTAATAAGCATCTCAAACTTAACATGACCAGAATTCAAGTCTTGATTTCCTACCCCTGTCTCCAAATTCTTCCTCCACCAATCTTCCCCACTTCAGTAGATGGCAACTACAGTTTAATAATTAATTGCTCAAGCCATTATCTTGGTCATCTTTGACTTTTCTTCTCACATCTCTCATTGGATTTAGTTAATCTGTGGGCCTTCAGCAAAACTGATCTGGAATCCAACTACCTCTCAACATCACTATGACATTCTGATACAAGCCTTTTTTTAGTCTGTTTTACTCATAACAGCCAGAATAATCATTTTAAAAAGAATAATTCAGATCATGTTACTCCTCTGCTTATAATCTTTCAATATTTTCCCTGCTCACTCTTAGTAAAAGTCCTTACAGTGACCTATAAGATTCTATATGATCTGGCTCTTGGCTACCTCCTTGACTACTTCTCCTGCCATTTTCCCCAGCGCTCACTCTACACCATCCTTCCCGCTGTTCCCCAGACACACCAAGCATGCCCCATGGCTGTTATCTCCAAAATGTACAACATGCCTAGCAAATAGATGATGTTCAAGAATTGTTTGAATAAAGGAAATGACATCCTAGCTGGGGTAGATTAGTGAGTAGAGAGTAAGGAGGTAGCTCCCTATCTAATAAATGGGTAAGAAATACATCTGTTTTGCTTATAGAAATCCCTTTGGCTTAGAGCTAAAAGATGAATAGAAGTCAACTCAGCAGACTTCATACACATGTTCAATTTCTGTTTTCAGATAAACATAGAAAAGCTTTAGTGCAGACATTTTTCTAACAACAGCAGAAATGTAACAGATTTACCCCATGTGTGAGGTTTGTTAAAGATCTGACTCATCATTCATATTCTTGAGATTACACATTAAAATATATCAGTAGAAATTGTTATATCTATGTGAGTAAAATATATAAAACCATTAAAATGTACTGTAATATTTAGTAGTATGGAAAAATATTCACAATTGGGGGTAGGGGAGGTTACAATGGTGTAAAATGAAATACAATTAAAAAATGTATATACTATAGCTTAGGAAAAAACAGGAGTTACGTTAAAATATGAGTATTGGTTATAGGATGGGACTTCAGGAGACTTTTATTTTGTCCTTTGAAATCTGTTTTCTTTTTTTTGAAATTTTCTACAATGTAAATGTATCACTTAAACAAAAGAATAAAATATAAAGTATTAAATAGGATATATTGACCTTGAATATTCTCTTATTCTAGATTCTGTGAAAGGAAAAATTAATGGTAAAGAGGATAAAGGAGGTAAGGAATTGGCTTCATTGTCTTGGCTTTGTTTACCTGATATTATGGAAGTAAGGGTGAGGAATATCTTTGCTGCTAAACACTGTTTAGAAAGAAGTATACTCTGGCTGCTATCAGAAACTTTCAAGTGTTGTGTCCTTATTCTATTTGCTTTATAGTGAAATATGGACTTGTACTAGTTTTCTGAGTGTCAAACTTTGGGGGTGGTGGAGACCTGGGTCAGATCACGGAGTAGAGAGTAACAAGGTAGCGCCCTATCTAATTAATGGGTAAGAAACACGTTTTGTTTATGGGAGTTTCCCTAACAATTTTAATTCTATTATTCATTAACATTCTTTCCATATATTTTATGTCTTTTGGAGTGTGCATGTATCTCTCTCTCTTTTTATTTTTTGGCTGGGCCATTGCATAGTGAAACAAAAATGATAAGATTATTGATGAAGTAAATGTTTTTGGATGACATTAACTTTAGGTTGGGTAATACCTAGAGCATTTGGAGTAAACCCAAAATGTCACTGAATTCCTCAATTCTCTTTTTGGTGTAGTAGCCCCTTGGCCCTTGTGAACCTTCATATCCTGGTTTCAACTATCTGAGAGTAATCCAAATTTCCCTACCAAATAAATGATTGTAATTTGAAGTGTAGGCTGAATTTTAGGAGTGTTTAATTTACTCAGGGATTTAGAAGATTGTGTGCTAAAAATGAGCAACAAAACTACATTGAAATGTAGATATGGTTGACTTAGCGGTTCACAGTTTGTGAATTAAAGTCAAAGAACTTTAACCTGTCTTCTTTTGGGAGGTGTCAGTTTTTCAAAACAAGTCATTTAAACCCTGTGTCACCATACATAAGAAGCTATGGAAGCAAAAAAAAATAGTGATAGAACTTTATAAAAGTACACTATAGTTTAGGTTTTAATGATCTAGTTGTAGACATTAAAACCAGATCCTTCATTATTGTATTAAATGTTTTTTTTTCCTTTTTGCCTCAAGGATGTCCAGTATTGGATTTGATTCCAGTTAGCTCTATTGAGATCACATCTCCCAATTATCCTAACATTTATCCTAACATGCTGAACTGCACTTGGACTTTTTATTCTATGTCAGGAAATAAAATGAAAGCAGTGATTAAAGGCTTTATAACAGAAGAATCTTGGAACTGTGAATGGGATTACTTCAATATTTATGACGGACCAGATCAGCAATCAGGATTACTTGGTAAACTGAACTTTCTTAAATGTCCTGCACGGAGTGGCATTCATATAAGCATTTATATAATCATATATATGGAAACCATGACCTATATTTGCCTTTAGAATGATATCATTTGTTGTCAGTGATTCTCCATCAGGTCCTTCATCAGAATCCTGAGTATTATTGAACACAATGGGATGAGCATGAGGCCGTACTCACTGGATCTTGACCTTTAACTCCAGCTCTTTTTGATTTCATCCAGTGATTCCTATCTCATTTTACCATTAGGGAGCACACTAATTTTGTTTTTCTCAGGAGGTCATATGTTTTTTAAATTTATTTATGGCTGTGTTGGGTCTTCGTTTCTGTGCGAGGGCTTTCTCCAGTTCCGGCGAGCGGGGGCCACTCTTCATCGCGGTGCGCGGGCCTCTCATTCTTGCGGCCTCTCTTGTTGCGGAGCACAGGCTCCAGACGCGCAGGCTCAGTAGTTGTGGCTCACGGGCCCAGTTGCTCCGTGGCATGTGGGATCCTCCCAGACCAGGGCTCGAACCCGTGTCCCCTGCACTGGCAGGCAGATTCTCAACCACTGCGCCACCAGGGAAGCCCCGGAGGTCATATGTTTTAAGAGGTTTTATTTCCTAAACTTCATTTTTAGGTAACTTTTTGAAATTTGTTTACTCAGGTTTCATCCTCACAGTAAAGGTGGTTAGACCCAGCGTAAATTATTAAAAGGTAAAGGTCAATTAACTTGAATAATCTTTGGAGATTTATTGACCACATGGTGTCTACCATGTTTGGATGTCAGGCAATATCTTGTTCTAAGACTGACTCATAGAGGGAACTTTTCCAAAGATTTTGTAATTCAATATTGTACCACATTCTCCAATCTCCAACCAGTTCTGCCAATCAGGACACCATTACAATCCACCTCACAAAGGGCAAGAGGAGAGGTTTTTTGTTTTGTTTTTAATTTTTATCAATTTATTTATTTATTTAATTTTTGGCTGTGTTGGGTCTTCGTTGCTGTGTGGGGGCTTTTCTCTAGTTGCAGCGAGCAGGGCTACTCTTTGTTGTGGTGTATGGGCTTCTCATTGCGGTGGCTTCTCCCGTTGCGGAGCACGGGCTCTAGGCACGCGAGCTTCAGTAGTTGTGGCATACGGGCTCAGTAGTTGTGGCTCATGGGCTCTAGGGTGCAGGCTCAGTAGTTGCGGTGCACGGGCTTAGTTGCTCCATGTGGGATCTTACTGGACCAGGGCTCAAACCCGTGTCCCCTGCATTGGCAGGTGGACTCTTAACCACTGCGCCACCACGGAAGCCCCAAGAGGAGAGTTTGTTTGTTTGTTTGTTTTTGTGGTACGCAGGCCTCTCACTGTTGTGGCCTCTCCCGTTGCGGAGCACAGGCTCCGGACGCGCAGGCTCAGCGGCCATGGCTCACGGGCCCAGCCGCTCCGTGGCATGTGGGATCTTCCCAGACCAGGGCACAGTCTCTCAACCACTGAGCCACCAGGGAAGCCCCAAGAGGAGAGTTTTGATGCTATCTTTTTCCAGGGACCTTAACCACTCCTATGATATTCTAGGATTTATAACTCCAGTAAGTTCAGCAATGTGCTTTGAAATTCCAAAGTTATCTAAATTTTTTCTTATCAACGAGTTTGGTTCCTGCCAAGGATTCTAAAGCAATTGAGAGTATGGAGGCGGAGGAGATAACAAAATATCAAGCTATCAGTTCTCCATAAGATTAATATGAGGTGTCTATAGCATCCAACCATACAACCCTAACTCTTGTGAATGCCTTTCAACCAGAGACCCTTGGAACATACCTGGAGTTGAACAAGTTAGATTTATTATTCATTGTGGAGAGGGAAAACACATATCCTGGAAAACCATGCGTTGTTAAAAGGGTGGTAGAGAGAACCTATTACAGTACTTAGGCTTTGGTTGGGTAATTTTGGAGAAGGTCTAAAGAAGTGGACTTTTCTCTAGATTGCTTGCAGGAAGTGGGGCAATTTTATGACTGGGTGTATCAATCATAGGGAGCCCTGACTAGAGTAAGGATAAAACTGTAATTGGTAAAGACGTAGCAAGCTCTCATTTCAGCCATGAGAGGTCAATGTTTGATATTTTTGTTGGTTACAGATGGCCTTGTTTTTGTCTCATTTTATCATAGATTCAGAGTCTTGTCTGATGTTGATGTCCTGTGAGATTGTTTATGTCCAACACGAGAACACAGTCCAGCTGTGAGTGTTGGACCAGTTCTTGGATGTCAGGGCTGCATTTCTCTTTCTCACTCTTTAGTATTCCTCAACCTGACAACATTATTCCTCTTTAAAAGTTCTGATTAATCAAAAATTCATGGGTGTCAAAAGATTACAAATGAGACAACTAATATTTCTATAATTAGCTTATATAATTCTATATAAAAGTGAGGACACTATCACTAGTTTGCTAGTTTATACAGTTTTATTTCATATACTTTTATGTACTTACATAGTTTTAGTTCAGTGAAATATGCAATTTCTATAAGCATTGTTAAACTGTTGAACACTGAGCCCCATTGCTACTCTCCCAGCTAGTTAGAAGGGCTAGCCCATATGTGGAACCACATTGTCTATATTCTCTTAGTTATCTTTTCTTACTAAATCTTTTTGCTCACCTAAATAGAATTTATCAGTTTTTAGCTAGTTTTTAATTATTTCTGTGAATGTAAATGGAGTGGTACACAGCCTCCAAGTTGTCTTCATTGCAATGCTTTTATAATATTTTAATGAAAAGAACATAGCAAAATTAACATTCATCTGGTCTTCCTCCTTCCATTTACCCCATGAAGGTAAACATCAGTAACCAGTAAACACCATATTAAACGTACAGGTTAAATTCATTCATGACTGAGCATTTTCTAATGTGATAGGCACCTTGAAGAAACAATGGTAGACAATTCAGAAATGATCACTGCCACCTTCTTTTGGGAAGACAGATGATAAAGAAGAAGAAAACTAGTAGCAGTATTTAACAATAAATAACAATCAAATAATTATTGATTGTCAACGTAATCTGAAGGAAATAAGTTGCAGCAGAAGTATGGAATAATAGTGGGTCAACAGTTGCTTTAGTTAATATGGTCACAGAAGATTCAAAGAATGAAAAGGAAACAGCCAGGCAAGGCCAGAATAGCAGGTGCCAAGGTGTCTAGTACCTATCTGACCTTACCTCCTACCATTCTCCCTCTCCTTCACCCAAAACCAGGCACACTGGCTTCTTTATTCCTCCTCAGACTAACCGACCATATTCCTGCTTGGCCCAAGGTGACTTCAAGGTTCACTTCCTCAGTTCATTCAGGTGTCTGTTCAAATGTTACCTAATCTAAGGCCTCTTCTATCACACAATCTAAATAACCCTCCTCCACTTTTCCTTCTTGGCATTTATCATGACCTGGCAGCGTATATATCAATATTTATTTGTTTAGAATCTGTTTCCCTCCACCAGAATGAAAATTTCCTGAGAGCAGAACTTAGTCTCTTGTTCACTGCTGTATCTCCAGTGTCTAGAGCACTCCTAACACTTAGTAAATATTTGATGAAAAAATAAGTGAGAAAATGGCCTTGCAGGTGGGAAGAGCTTGGTAACTTGGGAAACTGTCAGAGGTCAGAGTTGCTGGAGATTGAGTGAGTACAGACAGGAATGAGGTGAGGTTGTAGAAGATGGAGGCTTTGCCTAGTTGTGCAGCTCAGGTTATGGTAAGGAGTTTGGATTTTATGCCAATCCAATGGGAGGTCATTAAAGGTTTTTGACAGGGGAGTAAGTTGAGGGCTGCTATGACTGCCATGTTGGGAGTGGATTTTAGGGTGACAGGGTGAATTATGTCTGCAGCTATGAGGCTATCATGGTAATCTAGACCTACACTAATCCATGTTATAATCCATGTCTAATCCATGTTGTCATTTAAATTCAAATTAGTTAAAATGAAATGAAATGTGGTGTTAGCCATACTTCAAGTGCTCAATTGCTACATGTAGTTTACCATACTGGACAGCACTCATATTAAACTTTACATCATTGCAGAATGTTCTATTAGTACTGTTTTAGGTAATAGATAATGTTGCCTTGAAAGAAGATGGCAACAAAGGAGTACAAGTGACGTGGACAGATCTGGAGATAGAACTGATAGGATTTCTTGATGGATTGAATGTGGCATTAAATCTGCAGATCAAGGATGGCTCCTAAGTTATGGTATGAGGTTTTTGGAGGTGGTGGCATTTACAGAGATGGGAAATACTAGAGGGAGAAATAGATTTGTGGGGAGAGACCTAGCCATGTTAAATTTTTAATGACATGATACATCTAGGTTGAGTTAGCAACAGGGAGCTAGAAGCAGAACTCTTAAAGTTTGCGCTTGAGATATAAATTTGAGAGTTGTCAGCTTCTTATAAGTTTCCTTAAGTTATTCATTCTCTGACTTCATCAATCTCCTCTATCATTCTCATCAGTTGCAAACACATTCTAGTATTACCCATAATTCAAAACAAAACAGAACAAGAAATTTAGCTGTTGCCCCATTTCTCTGCTTCTGACAGCAAAATTTCTCACTTTCTTAGAGGGTGATGGATATAGAAAGTTTATGGGATTAATGGCGAGAAGGTCATGGAGAGAGCAAACAATTACAGCAGGGAAATACTAATGGATTAGGATAGATAGGAGTGGTGATTTAGAAAGTAGGATGTTTGAAATCAAAATTTCAGAAATCTCAAATGATTACAGAATTTCAGAGCAGTGTTGGTAAAGAATGATAAGATAAAAGAAATAAGTTCCCTTGTGTGGTCAAATTTAGGGTTGGCACTGAGCTGGCATTCACTAGCTCAGTCTTACAAATCGTCATAGTCAATGTCCAGTCTGTCTGGCTGTTGCTCCTGCCACACTGGCTATTAGATATCATCCTTGGTCAAGCAACAATTTTAAGGAACATTAACAAACTGGAACACAGAACATAATGGCCAGGATGCTGAAGGGTGTGGACACCTGGGCATGTTTATCTTGGAGAAGAGAGAAGGTTCATAATTTCTCCCCTTCAAATATTTATGGAATTCTCATAGAGACTCTCAGGCCAGGTATGAAACTTGTTCTGCCTAGTAATATCTAATAGTTATTGAATGTTTACCATTATTCAGGCATAGTCTTAAGAACTTATAACTCTTAATCTTAATAGTCATATGGAGGTGGGTTACATTATCCTCATTTTAAATATAAGGAAACACAAATATATTGAGTAACTTGCCTCCAGTGACATAACTAGTAAGTAGAGAAAGTTGGATTAAAGCCCAAGCACTCTGATTCAAACACTTATATCCTTGGCCAGTCCACTAACCATGTGGCCATCATTACACTGATGCCTTTTTTTTTTGTTTGCTGTTCGCGGGCCTCTCACTGTTGTGGCCTCTCCCGTTGCGGAGCACAGGCTCCGGATGCACAGGCTCAGCGGCCATGGCTCGTGGGCCCAGCCGCTCCACGGCATGTGGGATCCTCCCGGACCGGGGCAGCAACCCGTGTCCCCTGCATCGGCAGGCGGACTCTCAACCACTGTGCCACCAGGGAAGCCCATACTGATGCCTTTTGATTCAACATGAGCAAGAACTGTCAAGCAATTAGAACTGTTCAAAAAGAGAAAATGCTCATAAGTTACATGTAATATCTTCAAATCCAGGTTTCATATGTCCAAGGGTATTTTAGAAGGAACTCCGTGTTAGGGGCTTCCCTGGTGGCACAGTGGTTAAGAATCCGCCTGCCAATGCAGGGGACATGGGTTCAATCCCTGGTCCGGGGCAGATCCTACATGCCACAGAGCAACTAGGCTTGTGTGCCACAACTACTGAGCCTGTGCTCTAGAGCCTGCGAGCCACAACTACTGAAGCCCACGTGCCTAGAGCCTGTGCTCCACAACAAGAGAAACCATTGCAATGAGAAGCCCGCTCACGGCAACTAGAGAAAGCCTGCACACAGCAACGAAGACCCAATGCAGCCAAAAATAAATAAATTTTAAAAAAAATTAAAAAAGAAGGAACTCCATGTTATATGAAACATTGAACTAAATTATCACTAAGATTCTATATTTAACCTAGCTCCTTACTTCTCATTCAGCCACCCATCTTAAACCTACACATTTTGTAAATGTGTTATCTGCATTTCTATCTAAGCCATTAATAGAAATACTGTACTTCGCAAAACCAAGGATAGAACCATTTTCATACCATTAAGACCTTCCCTTCAGGTTAACATTGTATGGTTATTTAATCAGCTGTGAAACTTCCTAGTCATATAATTATCCACTTACATTTTATATCTGTTCACAGGGACATCATAAAGTACTCTATTAAGTGCTTCACTGAAATCAAGATTCATTAAGTTTATCTCATTCTCCCTAGCCACCATCTAATTAACTCTTTCCAAAAATTAAATTAGGTTAATTTAATATGGCATGTAAAGGAACACATGCTGGTTGCTCGTGACCACTGATTCCTTCTTCAAGTGTTCAAAACCCATCTGTCTAATAATTTGCTGTAAAATTTTGCTGAGGTTTATTTTTATTTAACAAACACTTATAATGCTTCATAAATATAACTTCATATAATTCCACGTATTTTTTTAATCTCCATTATACAGATGAGAAAATTGAGGCAGAGAGATAGGTTAAATAACTTGCCTAGGGCTACATAGCTAATAAATGGCAGAACTAGCCCAAAGCAGTAGTTTGGATATAGAATCTGAGCCTGTAAGGACTAAGCTACACTACTTCACTGATACAAGACTTTGGAAATCCTCTAGCCTCCTTGTTTTTCTCTGTCTCCTACGCATCCCCCTCTGCCAACTCCCAATCTCCTTTTTGAAAAAGAGAGTAACATTTTCCCATTTCCATTATTTTAAAACTTCCAGAGTGTTAGCTGACTCTATGCAGAATGCCTTTACTTGACATGGTGCATCCCAAAAGTACCCCATCACATCCAATTCACCAGATTCTCTGAGCATTAAGAATGATGTAGAGATTAACTATTGCCCTATTCCCCATCTTTCTCAGATTTCTTAGATAACATTATCTTTAAGAGAAATCAGTAGTGTATCATTGTTTTATCTTGAGATAATTTAAGTTACAGCCTGTACAGATAAATTACAGCAAATGGCCTCTCACTATCAGGACCATCTTTGTGACAACTTTTGTGTTTCTGAATTAGGAAAGGATCATCATTAGTCTGTATTTAGGCAGCCTGTGTGTCTTAGTCAGTTTTGGCTACTATAACAAAAATGCCATAGTTTGGGTAGCTTAAATAACAAACATTTATTTCTCACAGTTCTGAAGACTAGAAGTCCAAGATTTGGTGTCTGGTGAGGGCTTGCTTCCTGGTTCATAGCCATCTTCTTGCTATATCCTCACATGGCAAAAAAAAAAGCTGGGGGGGGTGGTTTGAGAGCTCTCTGGGGTCTCTTTTATAAGGGTTTATAAGGCTCCACCCTCATAATCAAATCACGTCTCAAAGGCCTCACCTACTACCATCACATTGGGGATTAGGGTTTCTACATATGAACTTTGGGAGTATGCAAATTTTTGGTCCATCGTGCTGTTCCATTACTTCTATTTCTCTGTCCATTTATCTTCATCGAAATGCCTCTACCTATCCTTATGACCAAAGATTGCCATATAATTATATATCATTTCCAAAGCAATTGCTAGCCCAGTCTTTTCCCTTTATCTTTTAAAATCTATACCCTTTTATCGTTTCAATCAAATCATGAATTTCATCCCACAAATCTTGCTCTTACATTATTGATAATCATTCCTTTGTCAAGATTTGTTTGGAATTTAATGTCCCCTCTCTCTCTTCTCCCTCCTTTACCTATGTAACTACACAGGAAAAGTATTTTAATTATCGAGTATATCTCGCATTGCAGCTCATTTATGTGGCTCCAAGAAAGAATTTGTCTTGATATCCAGTGGTGCTTACCTAACTGTGAATTTTAAGACTGATGAATCTGTGGGAGAAAGAGGTTTTAAACTTACTTTGGAAGATATGACTCAGAAGCAATCACAGAAAAGCAGTATTGGGATCCAACTGCCTATTAATGGTAAGAAATTGTTTTAAAACATTTATTAAAGCAGGTACCATATATGCCTTAAAGTAGAACCTGGGGCCCACTGATTTAGGAGTCACTGGTAGTCGGTCACCTTGCTCTAATACTAAAAATAGGATAACTTCATTTCCAACCATTCCTTAAGGCATGAGAATTTGGTGATTCAGGTAGATCATGTGAGGTAATAAGGTTAATTGGGGTGAGTATGTGTCTATATGTGTGTATGTTATTTTTATTTAAGAAATAATGATAAACATAAAAGTCAGTCAGTTGCTATTTAAAAGATCCACTGGGGCCATTCAGGCTGAAACAAGGGTAGAGTTCAGTGTGTTTCCATGTCTCTGTTAACATATTTTTTATTAAGTAACTGCCTCCCCACCCCCATGAAGAGCCCTCAAAAGGAATATTTTAGCTGAACCTATACTAACTTCTCTGCATAAAATAGAAACAAATGTGCTGATTTTTATCTACTTATCCTATCTAATTTTAAGCTAGAATTCCATTAGTTGTGCTTAAGACTAAGAAACCTAATGAATCTATTATTAGGAGATTTTCTTGATTGGAGTGTAATTGCAGGAAGAATTTAATCCGTGTGAATGCAAAGTTCTTTTTGATGTCGCTCTATCATTCCTAGGATAGTGGAATGAATGGGCTCTCCTAAGAGTCCTGGATTTGAGCTGTAGACTACTGAACCACATCACCCTATAGGTGTGATTTTTAATTGTTAAAGGGATGCTCGCCCAATTGACCCTTCTTCTGTGTCCATTGCTTTTGTCTTTCATCACTATATCTCTAAACTGACCCTTTATTCTCAGTAAAAATATTTAGCCTCATTTTTTTAAGTATTTTAAAGTAAGTTGAATACTAATAAAATATTGCTGTTATACATGTGTACAAACAGCCCAAAAGTCTGAGTTACTACATATAATGTGGATTACAAATGCAATAAAAAACATGCAGTAATGCAGTAAACCTTAATGCACTAAAAACATGTTTGAGTAAATACCTTTTGTGGGTTTTTTCTCCCTAAAATCTAGGATAATCTTAATTCTGAAGAGTCTGCATATTTTTTAGGCATATGTATGTAAAAGGAAGAGGGAATCCATGTGTTATACATATCTGAAAAGAAATTAGAAATGAGTTTTGACATAAGGATTGAATAAACACAAATCCACTATGCTAGAAACTTTTTGTTTTAAATAGATTTCTAGTGTAAAAAAAAATCTCAAGTAAAGAATTCACAAGTGATCATATCTTATCATTCTGAAATTATATGGCTATGGAGAGGCTTAATTTTCTTCATATTTAAGTCTCTTGTTATTCCCTGGTAAATTTCTTTATAAATCTGAGAATGGAGTAAACACATTGGTAGAAATTTCCCCTATGCTTTTCCTTTATATAAACATTTTATTTTGAAGTATTTTGATGTGTCTAGATATGTTATACTGGGATAACACAAACGATGCCACAGAAAGAACAATTTCCAGTAATTTCATGATTAAGTGCAATACTTTTTTAAAAATTGATTTGTGTTCTGATTCGTCTAAAGACGTATATATTAATGCTTTAGTTAACTATTGATTTTTACTCATTTAAAAGCAATGGAAGAAAAGATGAGTCTCATCTCTTGCAAAGAATCCTAGTTTTGAACCTACAAAAGAAGTAAATGCCTCCATTCTGAGATTTTAGTAGACTTTCACAAGTATTGCTATCTGATGTTTTGTTGTTACTTTTCTAAGGGCTAACAGTAGAAAACAATACCAGAAGACAGCCAGCCCAAGACAAATGTGGAATTCCTGTTGTTGACCCATTTCTCATGGAAGGATCTGAGAGGAATACAAACGTGTTGCCAGCCAAGCTTGGGAAGCCCAGGGTGGTTGGTGGCCGTGCCGCCCCTGCGATGTCGTGGCCCTGGCTGGTCAGTCTGCAGCACCAAGGACAGCATTACTGTGGAGGTGCTCTGATTGGGAGACAGTGGGTCCTGACAGCGGCACACTGCAACTTCAGGTGTGTGCCCAAGTGGTGCAGGGTTGGGGACAGCAGGGCGGTGCAGAGCTATTTGAGGGTCCACAGCGGGTGCACTCCTTCTGTTCTCCCCATGTCACAAGAAACATTAAGCATCAGCTCCCACTGATACAGTCCCCATCTTGCAAATGAATGAACGTGTTAGGTTTATGAAATTTTCTGTGCTTCACTAATACACTTACTACTAATAGCTTTTAATTTTAAAAGCAGCTTCCTGCCTCTAGGTATAATTTAATTAATAAGTAACTAACAACACCCCCCCATCCATAAAAATGAAGGTAATGATGTCTCAACATTTTTGCATCAGTCTCTCAGCATGGCGCCCAGAGCCGAGGGGCTGCTCAAATGTGGCTTCCTTTCCTCCTTGCTCTCCTCTACGGACTGTCTGATGATCAAACCCAGTCCTGAAATAAACGTGTAAAGTTTCAAAGAATTTTAAAGAATGTCCTTTAAAGGAACTTTTTTTTTCTTTGACTTTATCTGAATCTTGGTCTCAATGTAATATGGAAATATCTGAAAACTCCTTCCTCAAAGGAGTCTTAGCTTGACGTTTTTAATATTATCTCCCAGAAGTAGTGAGACAGTTGACACTGTCATACAATGTCCCATAGCTGAATGAGTAGATATGACATTTTCAGGGTCTCTAAAATTGGCTTTATAATGAAAGCATCTGCTCAAATAACATGGTGAGCAGGAAGCTTCAATGAACCAAAAACTCAATTTCTTTAGTATTCCCCAAGTCTTACTTTTGATATAGCTAAATCACAGAAGGCATCCTTATTAGGGCAGTTTTCAGACTTTCATGTGCTTAAACTTACCTGGGGAGTTTGCTATAAACAGAATCTTAGAATATTAATCCTGAAATTTGATTTGCTGAGTTATGTCTGGGATTCTGCATTCTTAATACACGTGCCAGATTTAATGCATGTGGTCCCTAGACATTTCTTTGAGAAACATCATATTAGGGAGTAGAGTCACTATAACTTTCAGGATAGTTTCAGTGACCATCACATAAGTACATCATATAATGCATAATGATTATAATACATAAAATCATTATCTTGAGGCATCATGAATCTTAATTGTCAAACATGTATTGTACTAAATCATTTTATTTGATGTTACGAAGGCAAGAAAGTAGATACTTTAAACATTTTATCAAGGATTGAATTAATCAGAAACTCCCATTTTCTAAGAATTCAGGATAATAAGGATATTAATGTGGATTAAAAATTTTAAAGAAAGTTTTGGGGACTAGATTTTGGCAATAATATAACTGGAGTATAGAAGCAAAAAAAATGTTAAAGAATACATTCTTAGTAATTCTGAAAAGTGATGGCCTCATTAAAAGTGGTATCTATTTCCTCACTCTCTTTTCTTATGACAAGTACTGTCACAGACAACCTGGTAATAGGAAGAAGTTACCTGTGGAACACACGAGATAGAGATTTGATACCAGTGAAAGCTGTATATACTCACCCCAGCTTCACACAATTTCCTCCCAATGATGATATATGCTTGCTGCATCTGGAAAACCCTGTTGAATTAGGTCAGTATGGATAACTCTTTTCCATATTTTGAAACTTTTATCTTCCATCTTGCTTAGAAGTGCTATATGTACTTTTGAAGTTAAATAATTATTTTAAAATTTTCTTACATTCTAAGATACTTTCTCTAAAAGCTGAAGTATCTGCATAAACATTTTACTGTTATGTGTATTTAATTGACAGAGGTCTAGAGAAGATTTCAGAGAAGTATGTTTTTAACTTTGTCCTATATATTCTCCTGAGACTCTTTATGTTCTATGAGGTTATCCCAAATACTTAGAACATCAGTTTGAACCACCAGATGTTTAATTTTCTGTGCCTTCATAACTTAGTAAAATCTTGGTTTTTAAAAAAATGTTTACTTAAGCCAAAGCTAAGTGAAACTGAGGCATTGTTAATCCTGGCTCTGTCAGGAAGTAGCCATGTGATCTTGGGCATGTTATGTAACTTCTGTGACCTTAGCTTTATTGTTTGTAGAAAGGGAATGGCAGTAACCCACTTACCTACTTAGCACAGGTGAGCATTCAGTGGGAAGGTGTATTGGGGGGAATGTAACTAAGATCTGTGGATAGTTCCCACTTTCACACCCAAGCCTTTCCATGGCATCACAGGGTTCTGGGACAGTTTTCTTCCTTTGCTCCAGTTCTCTCCTCTGTTTCTGCCTATAGACCTCCCTTTGTATGTCTTTTCGGTGCATTCATCCTACAAACCCCCAATCATGGTTCAATCTACCATTTGCTTTTCATGCTTTTAAAACTGAGTCAGTGAGAGCATTTAGAACAGTGCTTCTTAACCTTGACTACGCATTATCATCCTCTGAGTTGCTTTGAAAACAAAACAAACAAAACTATCAGCCCAGATACATTTTGGAACAATTAATTACAATCTCAGGATTGGAGCTCTGACATCAGTATTTTTTCTCTTTATCCTGCTTCTTAAATTTATTTTTAGTTAAACTTTCAATGCTGAGATAATTGTAGATTCACATGCAGTTACAGGGAATAGTACAGAGAAACCAAAGTACTTTTTAACCTGGTTTTCACGAATAGTAACATGTTGCAGGATTTGACATTGATATAGTTGAGATACAGAACATTTTTGTCACAGTAAGGATCGATACTGTTGCCCCTTTATAGCCACACCCATTTCCTTCCTCCCCACTCCACCCTCCCCACCCAGACTTCTGTCAACCACAAATCTGTTCTGTTTTTGTAATTTTGTCAATTCAAGAGTGTTACATAAATGGAATTATATAATATGTAACCTTTTGTGATTGACTTTTTTCCTGGGCATAACATCCTGGAGCTTCATTTATGTGGTTGCATGTATCAGTAGTGCATTCCTTTTAATAGCTGAGTAGTGTTCACAGTATGAATGTTTAACCACTCGTAACGTTTAACCATTCATTTGTTGAAGAATATCTGGGTGGTTTCTAGCTTTTAGATATTACAAATAAAGCTCCCACGAACATTTGTGTAAAGGTTGTTTCCTTTTTTTTAATTTAAATAATGCTGGATTGACTATCCTTATGTGTACATTTTTCCAGGTCTATGACTGCCTTAAGATAAATTTCTCGGAAGCAGAAATGCTGGATTTAGGGCATAACTGTTTTCAAGACTCTTGATGTATTTCTAAGTTATAAACACAGCTGGATGTGGAGTACAAGTCAATACATCCCCCTCCTCCATCCTGCCAAATGATGCAATCTGGCAATATCTGTCAGTTTTTAAAGTGTGTGCCTTGTGGTCCAGCAACTCAATCGTCCAGGAATACTGGCACAAATGCACAGATGCATGATCTCAGAAACTTGATGCAGCTTATAAGGGAAAAAATTAAAAGTCTAAATGTTTTCCAATGGGATTTAATAAATCGAGGTACATTCATTACCTGAATACTATATGCTATTAAAAAGAATGATGTAATAATGATGCCATTTAAATGGCATGATCATAAGCTAGTAAATGAAGAATATCAGAATAAGAAAAATGGCTGATTAAAAAAATATGTTGTTAGTAGGAAAATGTTATTTAGCTCAAGGAAATTTGGGAGAAGATACGATAGAGCAATGATTATCTATGAAGGCAGAATAACATAAGATTTGGCACACGCGTAGAGAGATGAGTAGGAAAAGAATAGACAAGTTACAAACAGTTTTATGTAATTTTATTAAGAGATAGCAGTAAAAATAAAGAACATATCATTGATATAAACGGCCTATGACAGATATGCTGACGCATTTAAGTATGTAAAAATCTGGATGAAAATGAAGTTATATAGCCTGGGAAAAAGGGAAAACAAACACAAGAGCACTGCATTCAGTGTGTGTGTGTGTGTGGGGGGGCATATATACACACAGACACACAAACCCACAATATTTATATATACACAGATTTTGTTGATAAGAAAAAATGTAAATGTATAATGTATCAATATATTTTATAATAACCTGTGAAGATAGAATTAGATATAAAAATACTTTTTAGCTGTAAGAATACTTTAACAGTTAAATTGCTACGTGTTTTTCCCCGTTCTTCATATAACATAGTTGAAAAAAGAAGACAATTATAGGGACTTCCCTGGTGGTCCAGTGGTAAAGAATCCACCTTACAATGCAGGGGACACGGGTTCAACCCCTGGTCCGGAAACTAAGATCCCACATGCCACGGGGCAACTAAGCCCGTGTGCCACAACTACTGAGCCTGCACGCCTCCACTAGAGAGCCTGCGTGCCACAAACGACAGAGCCCATGTGCCCTGGAACCCGAGAAAACCCACATGCCACAACTAGAGAGAAGCCCGCATGCCACAACAAAGAGCCCACGTGCCGCAACTAAGACCCGACACAGCCAAAAATAAATAAATAATAAAAATCTTAAAAAGAAGACAATTATATTCTTCTCCACTCTCATCTCAAATTCAACAAGGTGATGTCCTGAAGGCACACAGGCAAAAAGACAGATGCACTTTAAAAAATGGTTATGGATGAGAAGCCCCACATTTCAGTGTAGGGCATGTGTTTCTGTTTTCCTAGGAGGATATGGAAATACCTGGAGCAAAGTGGTAACATGTATATTGGGATGATCCCCTCTGAGTAAATAATAGGTGGAATCTTCTGGAAGACTTATTAAATTACAGGGTTAGAAAGGGTACTGTTAGGTCAAAGTAGGTATTTTTAGAGCCATCACTGAAGAGCAAACAGTATAGACAATGTTAATATGAATCTTACGGACTAACTGATATTTGCGTTTTTCTTTCTCATCCTTTCAATTAGGAAAGTTTGTATCTCCAATCTGTTTGCCAGGGAAAGATGATAAAATAAATTTACTTTCCAAATGTATGACTGCTGGATGGGGAATAACTGAACCTCATCGTGAGTATATTTTATTACCTCTTCTAAGATTAGAATCCAAACAAATATATGTGAAGTCTGAGTATACTGTTTACTCATTTTCAATTTTTCTGTATTTTTAATAGGAATGATAGTGGAAAAATTTTTTCATAATGGACCTAAAGGTGACTGGTTGGGTTTTAGGCCATCATATTCATTAATACAAGTTCACTGATACTTTTAAAAACTGTGTTGGTATATGTCTAGTGATGTTATTACCTAATAAATATTTGTGTATGCACACACTCACACACATAATTGTTTTCACAACAGTGTAGATATTTCTATTTTGAAAACCCATACTTGAAGATATATGAGCCTATTCTTAAAGCTGTGAGGCATTTTTCTGAAATGATAGGCTGGTATAAAAGGTAAATGGGTAGATATGATATCACTTATATGTGGACTCTAAAATATGACACAAATGAACTTATTTATGAAACAGAAACAGACTCACAGACAGAGAGAACAGACTTGTGGTTGCCAAGGGGGAGGGGGGGCAGGGGAGGGTTGGAGTGGGAGTTGGGATTAGCAGATGCAAACTATTATATGTAGAATGGATAGACAACAAGGTCCTGTTGTGTAGCACAGGGAACTATATTCAATATCCTGTAATAAACCACAATGGAAAAGAATATGAAAAAATATACATATGTAATAACTGAATCACTCAACTATACTTCAATTAAAAAAAAAAGGTAAGTGGGTAGAAAGATTATGTGCAGATATTCTAGTCCATATAAAGATCAAACCCATGACTCTGGTCTCACATACACCCTATTCTGCAAATGAATTAACTACCTACAAATATCCAATAAACTAGTTATTTAGAATGCAATTTCAGTTGTCAGCTTCCAGTCAGTGTCAGCACTTAACCAGAATGTCTGCTCAGCAGAAGTCAAATCAAAAGAATGAGAATGTCGTGAAACCAATGAATTAAAGTATAGACTTAATATGTAAAAAATGTATATTGTTTGCTTTATCAACAACTGATTTGGGTGTAAACTTTGTCTTTTTTGCATAAAGTGATGTTTTTATATCTTCTGAGGACTATACTAAAGACAAAAGAACCCACATAAAATGTTTTTCATTGTTTCTGTTGTATAAGCCACTGTGGAGTGATTATATTAGTTTTTTAGAAGTCACCTAACAGCATCACTATAGTGCTGAGAGGGGCAAATGGGTGGGATTTAACCCTCGGAGTCTGTGTATATATAAGGCTATTTTTGTTTTATCCTTTAATATCATTTGCCTATGTGTTTTTATTCCTTTTCTACTAGAAGATGAATTTCCTAAAACTGTGCAGCAGGCAAAGGTACCACTGATTAGTAGTACATCTTGTCGAAGCTACTGGGGACTGGATATTAAAAATACCAATATATGCGGAGGGGCTGCAGGATCATCGTCCTGTATGGTAATGAAGGCCTGCACTGATGAGGGCAGGAGTTTTCTCCTCAGTGTGTCTCATGAATGGGTGTTTGCTGACCATAAAAAGGTATAAATGTATGGTAGTTTTAAAATGAAAAGTGAGAGGAGTAAGTACATTGCTAAATTGATGTACTGTGATTGCCAATTTGATATTTTTGTGGATTCTATTCTCAAAAGGAATTACTTGTTCAATTGCTAGGTTCAACTATGTGAAACTGATAACTTTCAACTGTTTTTGATCCACAAAAAAATGATGATTTCTTGTGGTTCAACTTCATAGCTGTATTAGGTAGCTCAAACTACCTACTTCCAGTAGCACTGAAAATATAAAGATGCTTTCACGTAACTCAAAACCATCATTTAGTCATTTATATTAGATGCTTGAAACTTTCTGCATGGCACAGTCTATTGTCAGCATAAAATAAATTTATGCTAAATGTTCCTTTCAGCCTTGCCTTGAAAATGTAGATTTTGATTTGATTCAGAGATCTGTAACATCAGCCAACTACCTCAGTGGTTGTAGTTCCCTATGCTATTATGAGCAGAAATCAGAGATGAGAGTGACTTACACACTGTCGGATCATCCCCTGCAGTTGGGGGTTAGTGTCCGCCATGAATCGTGCAGCCAGGAGAATGAACTTCTCTTTTTGCTGGTTGCAGGGAGATTCTGGAGGACCACTGCAGTGTGCCCAGGATGGGCAGTACAAGCTCATCGGTATTGTGAGCTGGGGCAGCAGTAATTGCCATCCTGACGCACCAACGGTCTTCACCAGAATTTCTGCTTATAGAGACTGGATCACATCTGTCACTGGAGGAGAAGCATGATCACTGGAAGAGCAGCATGGTGGAATTGTGTTCCTAAGTGGGAAAGGAAATACACGACCGCCTACCTGAAAAATACGTCTCTTGTCATTGCTAAAAAACTCAATGTCACTGCCCCCAACCCTTGTCATTGAGAAGCCTGGATTTGGTGTGTACATACATTCAATATTAAACATTGGTCACAGAAAGCTAATGTTGGTTCATGCCTCCTGGGAACTTACAATCTTAAATGTCATTAATTTCAGGTCTAGTGTACCATGTACTATATGTCAAATTTGAGTACCATCACATATACTTTTACTGTTTTTTTAATTTGGTTAACATTGGAAGATATGGAGATGTTATTCACTCCATATAATTCTTTTTTTTTATTTTAAAGATTCTTTTCTTTTAAGCTTTTTAAAAAATTTTATTTTATTTACTTATTTTTGGCTGCACTGGGTCTTTGTTGCTGTCCGTGGGCTTTCTCTAGTTGCACCAAGCAGGGGCCACTCTTCGTTGTGGTGTGCGGGCTTCTCTTGTTGAGGAGCACAGGCTCTAGGCACACAGGCTTCAGTAGTTGTGGCACGTGGCTCAGTAGTTGTGGCATACGGGCTTAATTGCTCCGCAGCATGTGGGATCTTCCTGGACCAGGACTCGAACTGATGTCCCCTGCATTGCCAGGCAGATTCTTTTTTTTTTTTTTTAACATTTTTATTGGAATATAATTGCTTTACAATGGTGTGTTAGTTTCTGCTTTATAACAAAGTGAATCAGCTATACATATACATATATCCCCATATCTCTTCCCTCTTGCATCTCCCTCCCTCCCACCCTCCCTATCCCACCCCTCTAGGTGGTCACAAAGCACTAAGTGGATCTCCCTGTGCTATGCGGCTGCTTCCCACTAGCTATCGGTTTTACATTTGGTAGTGTATATATGTCCATGCCACTCTCTCACTTTGTCCCAGCTTACCCTTCCCCCTCCCCATGTCCTCAAGTCCATTCTCTAGTAGGTCTGCATCTTTATTCCTGTCCTGCCCCTAGGTTTTTCTGACCTTTTTTTTTTTAGATTCCATATATATGTGTTAGCATACAGTATTTGTTTTTCTTTCTGACTTCTTTCACTCTGTATGACAGACTCTAGGTCCATCCACCTCACTACAAATAACTCAATTTCGTTTATTTTTATGGCTGAGTAATATTCCATTGTATATATGTGCCACATCTTCTTTATTCATTCATCTGTTGATGGACACTTGGGTTGCTTCCATGTCCTGGCTATTGTAAATAGATCTGCAATGAACATTGTGGTACATGACTCTTTTTTTTTTTTTTTTCATGACTCTTTTTGAATTATGGTTTTCTCAGGGTATATGCCCAGTAGTGGGATTGCTGGGTCGTATGGTAGTTCTACTTTTAGTTTTTTAAGGAACCTCCATACTGTTCTCCATAGTGGCTGTATCAATTTACATTCCCACCAACAGTGCAAGAGGGTTCCCTTTTCTCCACACCCTAACATTTATTGTTTGTAGATTTTTTGATGACGGGCATTCTGACTGGTGTGAGATATCTCATTGTAGTTTTGATGTGCATTTCTCTGTTGAGTAATGATGTTGAGCATCCTTTCATGTGTTTGTTGGGCATCTGCATATCTTCTTTGGAGAAATGTCTATGTAGGTCTTCTACCCAGTTTTGGATTGGGCTGTTCTTTTGATATTGAGCTGGCAGGCAGATTCTTAACCACTGTGCCACCAGGGAAGCCCTCACTCCATATAATTCCTAATTTTACTCACATAGAACAGTGCCCTATGCGCAGGTTTACAGGAATGGTCCCTGTAAGTTTCACAATTTCAGTGAGCAATTGACATTTAAGAAATTATTTATCAGGCTTATCATTTGATTTTTAAATTTTTAGATAAAATCTTAGGATATTTCACTTGTTTACAAAACATTTATCTGAACTTCAGCTGACCAATACCCTCATCTCTCTAGGCTTAGCCAAAAACTAAGGAAGGTGCCTGAGCCTGGATACTTAATGCCAAAGCCCATCACAGAGATATATAATACAGAATAAGAAGTCTGAAGCAACTATTTTTTCTTATTTTCCACCAAAATTTATCATTTGGTTTCCAAAATTACAGCATTCAAAAAAGGAGGATAGTTTTAACTTTTTAGGTAAGTACAATATAACCTAATCAAAGAACAACTCATAAAGATATTAGCAAAAAATAAATACTTTTTTTCCTTTCTTTCTCTGATCTCCCTTTCTCTCACCCCCCCTGTCCCTACCCCTCTCTTTTTCTCTTTCTGTCTCTCCTCTCTTTTGCAAATGCTATAAAGGGAAAATATTTTGAATTTTTTGAATTAGTATTTACTAAAAACCTCTTACATGAATATTGGTCTAAACTGCTTTAAATAATTTAAATTATACTCTTTGATAGGGACTCAGTAAATTGAAAGATGAGATTTACAATAAGGATTCTCTAATTCTTATGTTAATTTGTTTTGTACCATTTTTACTTTGTCTCATTGAATTTCTCTCATCTTTTCAATCAGATAACATTAAGGGGGGGTTAAAGATGGGCTGTATTAAAATGTCAGGCCTGTCTAAAGCTTTCTTCTTCACAGTATGATCTGAAGGTGGTTAATTTTGGTACTGGCACAATCTCTGACCTCCTGGGACAGTGATCTGGTGGTGATACTTGAGGGCTCTGTCAGCAAAGGACGAAGGGTTAGCATTCCATGTACTACCTAAGGAAGCTGCCTGACTTTCATACGAGGGTCAGAGACTGGTGCTCTGTTTTCAGCTTGAGTTGGCAGTAATTTTCAAATTGTTCTGTATTTAATCTTTTCCCTATTGAATAGAACTGTGTTAGACTATTTTACTATGTTAGACTGTTTTACTTGCCCTTTCTCTAGTGGAAAGCCAATTTAACTCAGGAGGGACATAAGCTTTATTTCTTACTTTGACTGTTTCTTCTTCCCAAGAACTCTTTTTTATTCTTTCATTTCAAGGTCAAGCTCTATGTGGATTAGACTACAATCAATTTTGTAAATTGATATAGTGTGTAAGGGTTACATAGCCAAATTAAAAAAAAATTAGAGACCTAATAACCTAAGTTTTCACTCATGTGTGTATTTAAAAATGTCCTCGTTGAGCACCTACTGTGTGTCAAGTAGGGGCACCTTGAAAAAGGAAGTTTCCCTTATCTTAGCATCTCATTCTAGTGGAGAAGAACAATATACAAAGGTAATTCCAATTCCACATGCCATGGGAGCTGCCAGTCTAGGAGGGAACAACCAACACTTTCTGCAAGGATGGATGGAGGTTTTGCAGGAGAAGTAATGTTTGAGCTGAGTTTTAAAGCTCAAGTATTAGTTGATTTGATTTTTGTTTTATGTTTTAATGTTTTATACACCAATATCTTACGTTAAAGAAATCTGTATCAAGCTCTTTTCCTATTAACAATTACACATACTCTGAATCTCTCCTGTCATTTGGATTGTTGGAACATTTTGTTATTCATTCTTAAGCCATAAATTGCATTACTTCACTTTCTCTAACCCTCCGTCTTGTCTTTTTTTTTTTTTTTTTTAAATATTTATTTACTTATTTGGCTGTGCTGGTCTTAGTTGTGGCACGTGGGATCTAGTTCCCTGACCAGGGATCGAACCCGGGCCCCCTACTTTGGGAGCACGGAGTTTTAACCACTGGACCACCAGGGTAGTCCCCTACATCTTGTCTTTTTCATAAAATTTTCAACAATATAGTTCCAACATTTCATGCATATTCTTTGTCAATTTAACAGTCAACAACTTAAGCCTGACAAGTGTCTAATTCTCACCAAAGATTAACAGCTTTGGGCACTTACCTGATTTCATCTTGGTCTCAACTTTATTATCAGTAGCATGATCACTTTCATTTTTCTATCCCCCACAGATATTTATAAAATAAGAGTAAATTTAAACCAAATTGTCAGATAGTGGTAACACAAACAACTGCTGGGGCCAAAATAACTAAGAATCTCTTAAAGAGGCAAAATGAAGTGGGGGAATTATAACAGAGGCAATTAAGCTAGAGTAATTAAGACAGGGTGGTATTGCTGCAGAGATAAACTGATCAAGAGAACAGAATACAAAAGCAAGAAATAGCGCCATCTTACATTCTCTAAATTGGCAAAATGCATAGTGTGACAAGATAAACAGATAATGAGAATGTGGAGTGGAGGGGAACTCTCCTCACGGCTGGGGGTGGGGTGCAACTCAGATAACATGGGTAAAACTGAAGATGCCAATGTCTTCTGAGACAGCAATTCTACCTCTAGGTAAATGCCCTAGAGCATTGTCTTCAACCATGGCTGCAATTAAATGAAAACATCTGGGGCATGGAGGGGGGTAATTTTTTTTTTTTTACTATTTATTTATTTGGCTGTACCAGGTCTTAGTTGCGTGGCACGTGGGATCTAGTTCCCTGACCAGGGATCGAACCCAGGCCCCCTGCACTGGGAGTGCTGAGTCTTAACCACTAAGGCACCAGGGAAGTCCTAGGGGTAATTTTTTTAACTCCTTACATGATGCTAATGTGCAGTCAGGTTTGGGAACAGTGTCCTAGGAAAGTGATGCAACCATGACCACTAAACATGTACAGGAAAGTTTATAGAAATGTGAATATCAGCAAAAGCCGGACTTCCCAATGTCCACTAGAGAAGCATGGATAATCAAAATCTATATAGTATACTCACACAGCAGTAAAATATATGACATTCCACAGGCTCTTTAGGTGAATCTTAAAAGCAATGCTGAGCTTAAAAAGCAAATTTCAGAAGAGTAGGTACCTTATAAAGCTCAGAAACAGGCAAAATTAAACTGCTTAGGCTTCATATATGGTTGAAAAAAATGCCAGGGAAAATAACCCACCATTCAGAGCAGTGGGCGGGGGGTGTGGGGATAGGATGGAGGAACCACACACAAGTGGTATTAATAATTTTCTAGTTAAGTTGGTGGTGGTTTTACAGATGTTTATGATCTTGCTCCATAACTTACATAATACTTCTGTGTACACAGTATAAGTATACTTACAGACCTTTTAAATAATACTAGCTTCTCAGCATAGAACCTATTCTTCTTTCCAGGTAATTAGAGTTCCACACTCATTCGGAGCATTATACCCTTGTATTTTTGGCAGTTCCCTTTGCCTAGAAAGCACAAATTGTCACTGACACTTGCATTCCCTGATGTCACTATTTAACTTTGCTTAGTTAACACTGGCAATTACATTTTCTACCATCTATTCTCTTCCAGGGGAAAAGGGTTTAACATTTGTTTATCTTCTAGGTGCCAGATATTACTTGACATTTCCATTTAGGTCATTTAATCATTAAAACTAATCTTATGAAAATGTTTTGAATGTAATATTAATAACCCCTGGGAACAGGGATTAAGTGTTGGTTCTGAAACCAGAGTTCTTGGGTTCAAATCCCGCCTTCATCGCCAACTAGTGTTATGACTTTGGGCAAGTTAGTCTCCTTATACTTCCATTTTCTCATCTATAAAGTGGAGGTAATAAAAAAACCTATTCATACAGATATCCTATAGTTAAAGGAGTTTATAAATTCAAACCACTTAAAAAAGTGGCTGGCACCTAGTAAACTTTCAATTCATGTTAGTTATTATTTTGTGCATTTTTCTAAAATAAAGTTTTAAAGAGGATTCCCCCCCCCCAACCTGACCTTGGATCCTTTAAAAAATACTTGAAGAGAATAGTTAAAAAATTGTTACATAGGGAGGGTGAGGGAGGGAGACGCAAAAGGGAAGAGATATGGGAACATATGTATATGTATAACTGATTCACTTTGTTATAAAGCAGAAACTAACACACCATTGTAAAGCAATTGTACCCCAATAAAGATGTTAAAAAAAAATTGTTACAAAAATGGATGAACCTCAAAATCATTATGCTAATTGAAAGAAGCCAGTCGCAACAGACTACATGTTAGGATTCCACTTACATGGAATGTAGACAAATTTATAGACAGAAAGCAGAACAGTGGTTCCCTAAGGTTATGGGTAAGTGCAAGAAATAACAAAATGGGGGTGATGGAAATGTTCTAAAATTAGATTATGGTGATGGTTGCACAACTGCATAAATTTACTAAAATCATGGAATTGTACACTTACAAATTGTTTTTTAAGGAACAGTTCCAGGATTTTTACTTTAATGGCACTTTTATCAGGATGGGTAAAATCTGATTAAACTCTCATGTTTGAATGTAGTCAAAATCCAGCAATACACTGTTATGTGTGCAGGCAGAGGCTATGTCATATGTTACTTGGGGAGAGGTTGATTTTATTAAGCCTTGCTGTTCAAGAATACAGTACAGCTTTCTAATTTTTCTGTTCTTTTTTATGTCTCCATTTTGTTTTTCAAAAATTCTCTTCATAATTTCCCTAAGGATTTAATTGGGGAATGACAATCCCATTAGCCTACCTTAGTAGCTTTCCATGTGCCAACTTCTTTACATATATTAATTTAATTCTGAGCGCAATTGTATCAGAAAGGCATTCTCTTTCCCATTTTACCCATGAGATTGAAGCTAGGGAGGCTGACTTGTTTTACATCAAACATCTGGTTTCAGAGAAGAAATAACACATAGATTTTTCTGATTACAGACTTTAATTACTATATCACATGGCTGATGGGTGTTTTCAGAAGATAATGTAGGCAAGAGTGTGGAGTTTGGACTGGGGAGATAAGACTGGGAGCATGGAGAGATTGGAATTGGGCTGGCTTCATTCACACACTTGAACATGAGAAGGAAAATAAAATGGAGAGAGGTAAAAAGAAGACTTACGTGTAATAAGGGAGGTTCAGTTTTCAGAGAGCTTAAAAATAGTATAAATTTCCTTGAATCCACCAGGAATTACTTGCCAGCTGCTGGTTAAAAAGACGTTACTACAGTAGTTTGAAGGAATTAGGATTTTTATTCTCTTACTTAAATGGAGTCAGGCAGCTGATAGGCAGCTCTACAAAGTTAGAGGGCCTGCAGCTTTTCCTGTCTTCCTCCTCCACCATCCTCAGTGTATCGATTCAATCCTCAAGTCATAAAATTGCTGCAGGGCTCAGGTCATCGCAGTCACATTCCAAGATTGGAAATAAGGGAGGGCAAGGAGAAAAGGGGATAAATGACTTTCATAAAAGCCCTACTCAGTGACTATTATTTACATAACTACCTGCCAAGCCTGGGAATATAGTTCTTCACTTGGGTTTACTGTCCAGGATTCTGGTTCTAAAGAAGGAGAGAAGAGTATTTACATGGCAACCAGAAGTCTCTCCCACATATCTAATTATAATACTTTGCATTAATTTTACTTTTATTACCTTTTCTAAGAATAGTGCAAAAGAAAGTCAATTAAAAAGTGATACTGTGATTGTATAAAGCAAAAATTATAATTCTTTATTTCACTGCTATCCTTTTCCCATTTCCGCTAGTTATCATTTTTAATAGTCCAGGACATCTCATAACAATAATTGGAGTTTCAGAAGGAGAAAATAGAGAAAATGGAGGTGAGAAATTAATCAAGGAAACAAATCAAGAAAACTTCCTAGAACTTAAGGGTATGTGTTGTCAGGTGGAAAGAATGCACTGGATGCCTAGCACAAGAGTGAAGACGGACCCAGATCACAGATGTCACTGTGAAGCTTAAAGGCACTGGGGACAAGAAAATTACATAAGATTCCAGAGAAAAACAGGTCTCATACATAGGATCAAGAATCTGAGTGGCTTTAGACTTCTCATCAGAAATATTTAAATGCACAAAGATGCTTTGCCATGTGGACCTCTCCACTGGGCTTCTTGAGTGGGCTGATGACAAAACAGCTGCATTTCCCCAAAGGATGATCCAAGAGAGAGCAAGGGGGAGCTGCACTGTCCTTTATGGCCTTTGCTAGCACCCTTTAAACTTTATAATAATTGTTTTTTTTAATTCATCCTGGACAAATCATATAGTTTAACTGAATCAAGCCTATCTGCTTGGTGTATAGACCAAAAAAAAAAAAAAATTACTAATTTCCCAGCCTCATTTTTTCCATCTTTTGCCTCCAAATGAAAGACTCTAATGGGTTCCTGTGTGTTCCTTCAGCATGGACTTGGCTTAGGATAGACATGACGTTAATGGCTTCTCCTACCTCAGACTCAGCAATCCCCATCTCTATTATGATGGGAGTGCCAAAGGGCACTCAATGTGCTATAGAGCATCACCCTTATAGATGGATGTGATACCAAAGCAGCAGCCTCAATCTGTGTCAAGGACTCAGATCTTTAATGAGGTTCCCCCAACCTAATTACCCTCCATTAGAGGAAAAATCAACTTCTGACCAAGTTTACTCATGCAGACTGGTTCATGAGACGGTGGAGGGCAGGGGGGAACAGGTCTGACTGGCTTCTTTCCTTCTAAGACCCAGACAGGGAGGAGGGGGACCTCACTATTGTTGGTTCAACTATCCTTTACTTAGAAAAACAAGTTTAATTCGTAAGAGTATTTGTCAGGTTAGGTCCTGTTGAACAGTAAGATATACAAATGTATTCATAATTTTTAGTCAAAGCATCTGAACTCTGACCATGTATTATTTACATATTTAGCTGCTTCTATATTTTTTATATGATAGGAAAATCAACTTATGGACATATCTCATATATGGGATGGAAATTATTTGACCTTTTTAGCTCAACATCAGTGGTATATAATATCAGAAAATGGAAAAATGTCTTCTGCTGTGCTCAGTTGAAAGTTGATTTTCTTTCTGTCATATCATCCTGGGTTTTTTTCCTTTCTAATTATGATAGTTTGTCACATACATAAAAATCACAGAGTCTGGTGTACAGCATGAAACTGGAAATAGTCTTAATGAAGGAAATTGACTGGTCACTGGGATTGGTAGCTAGTGACTGAATCTGAGGTTAGTGGTGCCATTGACTTTTGTAGATACAGTGCAGAAGAAATAGATTTGGGGTAAATTATAAAATCCACTTGGGATATATTGAATTTGAGGTGTTTCTGGGGCATTCATATAGCAAAAAGTATTAACTTACCTTAATTTTGTTGCTTACTTGCTAAAACTTTTATGCAAACTACAGAGAACTAAAAAAAAGAAAAAAACAAACAAAAACCAGTATGAAAACACCTTCTGATCATTTGCACAAAATACAGGTTGTTTAGCACCAGTTGTTAATTCCCAATCTAACATCTATCTCCCAGTTCTCTTTTGTGGGCAATGTTACCAAACCAGGTTCGTTTTACCTAGCGCACAGCAAGCCCAAGTGCTGAGATGCTGAGGTTTGCAGCAAAGGCAGGGTTTTTCCACACGGCAGCCAAGCGAGGGGGCTGGAGGGCAAATCTCAAATTTGCCTTCCTGAAGGCAAGGGGCTCTCTGGGTATTTATGGAATAAAGAAGCAGGGCGGTCTCAGTGGGGGAGCATGGAGAAGGGTGATGGGAAAAGGTGAGGTAATGGTCATTCTGTGCAGGCCTAACTAAGCTATGGGCCACTGCACCTTCAAAAGGTCACCAAGTGGACACTCCACATGCCCAGTTGTAGGGTTGGTGATCCCATCCAGCCTTAACCAGCTCAGCTTGAGCTAGACACAGATGACCCCAAGTTCCTTGAAAATAACTCGGGCAAACATCTTATTGTTTAGGCTATGTGCTGCTTGGAGGACAAGCAAGTCTTAAAATGACCTTGATTAGTGAAGGCAGGTGAAACGGATTTGACTAATCATTACCCACAGTTTCATAATACATAATGGACATATTTTTTTTCCTTGGAAGCAAATTGTTTTCTAGATATAACTACACCAATAACATAGGATTAAGTACTCGCCCCTCTTTCTAGTTAAGCAAGGTTTCAATCTTCAGGAGGAAATTTAGTCTTGACTTAGTATTATAGGAGATGGTGAGCTGTTTTTTAAATAAGCAGGATCAAATTAGTCAGTTTTGTTTCACTGGGCCATCCAACTCTTATGGGATAGTTGTTACCCTGAAAGTAGACTACTCTAGAGACCAGGCATCCAGTGTAACTAAGTGAACAACAACCAGCTTCCAGCCACACAAGACCTCAAACAATCAGACCTACAAAGGAAGGGCTGATGGTGCATTTGTGGCTAAGATAAAGAAGCACTTTAGATATGTATTAACTCATTTAGTCCTTATAAAAATCTTTGAGACATTATAGTACAATTTTATAGATGAAGAAAAGAGGACAAAATAATGAAATAATGTGCCCAAGGTCACATGCTAGTAAGTTATTGAACTGGAATTTTAACCCAGGAAATCCTAGCTACAGTGTCTATGATCTTAGACATCACATTATGCTTCTTCATAAATATGTGAAGGAGGCAGAAACTTTCTATCAGTTTAGAGTTGGTTTAAAGTTTTTGGACTAATACTGAAATGAAAGTCTGGAAATGAAATTGCATCAGTGGAAACTCTTTATCTGCCCTTATTTTCTAGGACAGTTTAAATTTAGTAAAATTTCATATTTCGACAAACGTTAATTCAATAAACAAAATGATGACTGCTCCTTCGAAAGGCAGTTTAGTCTTGTGGTCAAGATTTCCCTGCCTCTCCCAGCTATCTGACATTGGGTAAATCACTTAACTGCCACTTGACTCAATTTCCTTATCTATTAAATGGGTAAATAATGTTATTACCGTACACAGTTGTAAAAGATTAAACGAGATGAGGAAAGTAAAGCATATAAATATTGCTTACTGGGGAAGAAAAATCAGTGCTTACCATTTAAGAATTAGTCATTATTACGCTTTTGTTAGAATTTTTGGTCAATAAATCATAAAATTAAAAATCTCAATGTTTGGAAAATCTGGTAACACATGGGCTTGCTCTTGAGCCCTTTTTTTCCAAAGTCCCCTCTGTTACCTCTTATAATATGAAGTGTTAGGGAAAAAAGGTGAATGAAGTATTAATTTTCTTTCTCAACAAATATTCGAGTGCATAGAAAAGTATTGGTGATATAAGAATGAGGAAGACACATGTGATTTCTTACAGAGCTTACCATCTAGAAGACAAGAAAAACATTTAACAAATAATTTAAAAGCGTTACCTGTGCCTGGAAAGGAAAGTTTAAACGTTCTTGACAGAAGAAAATAAAGGGGCACAAAACGTGGTGCAGAGTTTGTAAGAGTAATACGGATAGGGCTGCAAATGTTAATTCCTGCGCCCAAGTATCTCATTCCTAACGAAGTACTATTAGAGGAGTTGAGATTCTTTCTGTGGTCTCTAAGTATCCGTTGGTAGGTAACAAAGCTCTCCTTGGAGAAGTTAATTCCTTGCTAGCCACGTGGTCACAAGTGAAATAAGTTTAAACCTCCATTCTTCTTAGCCGACCCCCTTAACTCGGCTCACACCTCTTGATTCACAAAGCACTTCGTCAGCGAAAGGAATATCGCGAGAACTCTACACCGTTTCCCCGCCCCCGCCCCCCCCCGGCTGACGTTGTCCACGGTGGTAGTCGCTTTTGTTCTCGCGATATTTCCGGGTAAACGGGAGCCCGGGCGACCGGGCTTCTGTGAAACATGGCGGTCGGCTGGGACCGTAGCACAAGGTAAAATACTGAAACCTCGCCGGGTGCTGTTTTCTCGTTTGTTCCAGGGCTGTTCAGGGCATGAATGTGGTTAAAGGGGTGAGAGCCCGTCATAGCGTTAGCTCCCTGTCTTAGTTCCTCTCTTCCGGAGAGCGGGCCGGACCGGGGAGCCGGTCTACTTACCTTCCCCGGGGTCGTTACTGGCAGGACCCTGGGCAGCGCTGCGCCTGGAAGCTCCCCTTTTCCTGGTCCAATGTCTCTCCGCTGTCTTCCAACTTGAAGGAGTTTAGCTGCGTCCCCATAGCCGCTGACCCTGGCCCATTGCTTCTCACAGTGCCCCGTGCCCCGGTGGCTCCTCCCGTCCGCAGGGGCGGAGGGTCCCGCGTTGTGAAGACCAGCCTGATAGTGTCCCGATCGTCCCGGGTGTCTGGCTCCCATCCCCATTTCAGATACCAAATTCTTCGCAGCAAGTTGTGCTCTCTAAGAAAGAACGAGGTCTTGGCCTCGCCTCGGGAGGTTCGCACGCCGCTTAGGAAATTGAGAAAGGGGCAGGGCAGGGTGAGATGCTGTAGGAGAGACAGGTCCGAGTGTCACTACTTTTCTGAAACCCTTGAAGAGTTAAGAAGCCCTTGTTAGATAACATGTCAGCTCGTGGTAGAGAATAGCTTTGGGTATTGGTAGTATATAGAATTAATAGGTCATTGTTTGAGAAAACACGTTCCAGTAACTTTTATATTTAGGATTTAGTGCCCTCGAGACAACACAAAGTTACAAAATACCAGTTAAAATGATGCAAGACTGGCTTTCAGAATCAGTTAAAGATGAAGATACAGAAGCAGATAAAGATACAGTTAAAAACGGGATTTATTTATTTGTTTGCAGTTGTACTTAGGTATTTCATTGAACTCTAGTGTACAGCCATTATAAAGAAATGAATTAGGCTTGTTCACTGAAGAATTCAGGACTTATGTTTGTTTACTTGTTTATTGATATTTCCAAATTGATGCAATTATTCCAGTTCTCTTAGAGGAAAAACATGAAAAAAAAATTTCATGGTTTTCTTCGGGGGGAGAACGTGGGGCGGAATTTCTTTCTTTTTGATGATGAACTTCAGTCACAACTGACTGCTGTAATTGGTTGAGGGTACAAATCATAAAAATATATCAAGCTTGAAAGTCTCAGAGGAAATCAGTACTAGTTTGGAACAACAGCATCAAAAAAGAATTAGAAAAAATAATAAATTTCTTTGAGGATTAGTCATTTAATTGGAAGAAATAGTGAAACATTTTTAATAGAAGTTACTCTTTAGGCAGTCTGTGCATGCTCCAAATCCTATTCAACAGCTTTTCTATATTTATTCTGATTCTGCCTCTTAATGTCATGATGGGTAAATTAACCTCTTTCTGTCGTAGTTTCCTTATCTGCAAAATGGGAATAATAATAATACAACTCAGAAAGTGAGTGGTGATGATCAAGTGAGCTAAAACATACAAAGCACCTAGAACAATGCCTGACATACAGTTAACTTTCATTAAATGTTAGCTCTTGTTATTTTTAAATTTTTGTTTTCTAACTTCTGTACCTACTCACAAAATGTTGCCTTTGTTCTTAGTCAAAATATAGACTGAAGAAGATGCTTTTATAAGTAATTTCTTGGATTCCAAAATTGATTAAACTCTTCAGTCTATATGGTTAAAATGTCCTTAAACTCCATCTTCCAATTGCTTGCTTTCTTAAGCCATTATCCTCTCTTAATTACTAAGGTACAGATTCCTCTTTCTACTACTCCATGCAGTCTTACTTAAGTCTAGGTCAGTTCTAGGTCATTTCTGCCTTAGGTGCCTTTTTAACCCATTCTCCTTGCTTTTGGAGACCTTCATTCTGTTGTCAATATATTTCATGTGGGCTTCCCTGGTGGCCCAGTGGTTGAGAGTCCACCTGCCGATGCAGGGGACATGGGTTCGTGCCCCGGTCCAGGAAGATCCCACATGCCCCGGAGCAGCTGGGCCCGTGAGCCATGGCCGCTGAGCCTCTGCGACTGGAGCCTTTGCTCCGCAAAAAAAAATAAACAAAACATAAAAAAAAAAAAAAAATATATATATATATATATATATATATATATATATAATTTCATGTGTCTCTGACCTTTTCCTCACACTTTCCTTACTTGCTTAATTCAATTAATTTAATTCAATTTTGTATGCTTTTATTGAGTAGTTACTGTAGTCAAACCATTCTTTGAGGAGGAGGATGTTTGTCTTTGCTTCATCTTGCTACTAGGTACTTACAAATTGTTGTGTTGCCATCACTCTATAGTCTCTTCTTTTAACTTTCATTCTATCAATTTGTATAATCCTCAGTCTATTCATGTTATTATCGCCTAACTTCACTTTCCCACCTTCCTAAAGACTTTAACATAAACCTCAAATATCCTACAAGTCTTTGCATTTCTTTTGAGAATTAGAAATAGATATTTATCAAATGACTCATTTTTATCTTGATTAAAAACTGTGAGGTAACCATTATGTCTCCCTCCCTCCTTTTAAAACAAAATTATAAAAGAATTCTGAGAAGTTGAGGATCTTTTCAAATTCATCACATAGCTTGTAAGTGCCTAGAAGTCCCCCAAGTGTTTTTGATCACAAAAAACTCACATTTATACCATCTTACTTGGCTTCCAAGTAAACCTGTTTTTTTAAATCACTTGGAAGTTTATTAGATTTGTTTGAATTATGTTAGTGTAAATAATTTTAAAAACAAAATGTAACTGTTGTAAAAAGTTTTAAAGTAAAAAGAATGAGTACTTTTTTGATGTCTAGTGTTTGTAAAGTGAAACTAAGTTATCTTTCATAAAATTTATTGTATTCTAATGCAATATTGTCAAGTAGTTTAAAATTACATATAAGTCATAGTTTTGCTTTTCGTTTCTGAAGTTCAGTGATAGCCTGGATAATATTTGTTCCATCTCCTTTCTCATTGTTATTAATGGCTTGTGTTAGTTTCATAGGACTGCCATAACAAATTACCAACTGGGTGGCTTTAAAAACTAGAAATTTGTTCTCTTACAGTTTGGGAGACTACCAGACTGAAATCAAGGTGTCAGCAGGGCCATACTCCCTCTGACAGCTCTAGGAAAGAAACCTTCCTTGTCTCTTCTAGCATCTGGGCAATCCTTGGCTCCTTGGCTTGTAGATACATCACTCTAATCTCTGCCTGTCTTCACATGGCATTCTCCCCTGTGTGTCTGTGTATTCTCACATGGCCTTGTTAAAAGGGCACCAGTCATTGGATTTTGGGCCACCTTAATGCAGTATGGTCTCTTAACATCTTTAAAAACCCAAATATTTCCAAATAAGACCCATTCACAGATACCAGGGGTGAGGACCTAAAAGTATCCTTTTGGGAGACATAGTTCAACTCACAACAATGGCCATGTGTATTAACCAATTAAATATTTCTCATATTGTTAAATATACATTAAAAATAGAAGTTAGCTCATAAAGTGTGGGTAGCAGAAGATAAATTATGCCTCCATTTTTGTTTGAAGAAGTAATTAAACTTAATTCAGCAGACCATAAAAGTGTCATGAATTCTATATTTTAATTTTGGCAAAGCATCTAATAGTTTCATTATATTCACGTGGACACAGATGATGAAATACTAGCTGTTTGACATTTCTTAGATTGAGTGTTGATAATGTGTCTCTGTGTTCCAGCATGAAAGGTGGTTTCTTATTTCTTATGCAGTTTTTCAAAGCATTGTCTTAGTCTCAGTTGTTATCAGTGACTTCCTGGAATTTGCTTGTTTTATTTTTTAGTATACACAACAGTTCAGGAGAGAAATTGAAGATATGATACTGGACTGGAGATTGTCAAAGTATGAAGAGCATCACCAACTAATGGGCAAAGGAATCTAGCATAATGGCTCCTAAATTTTGTTAACTAGTACAAAAAAATGTATAGAAAAAATCAGGGAAAGGGACTGGACTTAAGGACTGATATAGAATTGCAGTTTTTTTTTTTGTTTTTTTTTTTTTTGAGGTACATGGGCCTCTCACTGTTGTGGCCTCTCCTGTTGGTGAGCACAGGCTGCGAACGCACAGGCTCAGCGGCCATGGCTCACCGGCCTAGCCGCTCTGCGGCATGTGGGATCTTTCCAGACTGGGGCACGAACCCGTGTCCCCTGCATCGGCAGGCGGACTCTCAACCACTGCGCCACCAGGGAAGCCCTAGAATTGCAGTTTTTAATTTTATTAAAGAAAGATATCCAAAAACAAACAAACAAAAAACTTTATCTAATTTTATCATTTCATAAAAGAAAGGACATTTGACACATTAAAAAAAAGGAAGGAAATAATCTCAGAATAAAAGACAGATTTTTAAACTGAATAAATTTAACTTAAAAAAAGAATCCTATATTGTCCTTGTTTTTTTTCACTTAGGTACAGACTAGAAACTTTTGTAACAGAATGGCAGTTCTGTGCTTCTGGAAACCACTGATCTAGGGTCTTTCTAAATGCATTTTTGAAAATGTCTGACTGAGCTGGATGGAGAGGCAAATAGAGTGGGAATGGGAGCAGTGGAACTGAATGACTGGGAGGAATCCAAGGGATTGAGAACACAGGGAAAATGAAGAGTAGATTCTTCCCTAGTGAGGAAATTAAAGAGCTGGCAAGATAATTGTTTCTGCTCAGAGAGGAAAATTGGTGATTTGGATATTAGAGGTGGAACAGTTTTAAAAGTTAAGAGGAGCCAAAGCATGGCCTTGTTCGTGTGTGGCTTTGTATAGAATTAAGATGGAAGTCACTGGAGAATATCTGTTAGGCTTACATGGTAAAAGGATTATCATTTTGAATGAGTGCCCGAGACTGAGTGTCATAGGGTGGTGATGGAATGGGGAAGAAGTGCAGTGAATGATCCAGGTGCTGAAGTCATTAAGGAAGTTCTAAATATATCCAGGTGTTAATGGAAGATGAATCAAGTGCTGAAGTGAGTTAGTGTACACTGTGGGTTGGAGTATGGACTCTGGAGCCAAGCTGCTTGGCAGTGAATCCAGTTTCTACCACCTGCTGTGTGGGCCTTGAAAATACTTGACTGGGGACTTCCCTGGTGGCGCAGTGGATAAGACTCCGCACTCCCAATGCAGGGGGCCCGGGTTCAATCCCTGGTCAGGGAACTAGATCCCACATGCATGCAGCAACTAAGAGTTTGCATGCCAAAGAGCCCGTGTGCTGCAACTAAGGAGTACAGAAGCCGCAACTAAGGAGCTGGTGAGCCGCAACTAAGGAGCCCGCCTGCCACAACTAAGACCCGGTGCAACCAAATAAATAAATATTAAAAAAAAAAAAAGAAAATACTTAACTGTCTGTGCCTCAGTTTCCTTATCTATAAGTGAATAAAAATAGTATTTACTTTGTAGAGTCCTTTAGAGGATTAGATGAATTTAATATATGAAGTGCTTCAAATAATACCTAGCACATAATATGAAAGTTAGCTATAATTCTAATGTAGTATGTGTGTTTATTATTATTATTAGAAGATAGACTTGAAAAGGGAAGAGATGGTTGAGATATCATGTTAAAACATGCTACTTCTTTACCTGTGAGTCTCAGAAATGAAGTATGATTCAAAGATAATTACCACCAGGAGAACGTTATGTTTCATAAAGAGCAGGTAGAAGGATTGCTTTTAGAAAAACTGGAAGTTATTGGATGACTTGTTCATATCAGAACAGTGGCTCTATAGAGTAGATTGGCAGGTATTCGAGGTGGAACGAATTTTTGGTTGTAGGTTAATGCTGAGCTAACAGGAATGGGACTGGAGCAGCAGCAGAGTGGCAAGGTGCTCCATTGTAGAATAGAGCTGTCTTAGCAGAAGGTGAGACACAGCCTGCTGTTGTCCACCTTTCTATCCCGGGATGGGGGAGAGGCAGTGAGAGTGCCCTATGTATGCCCTCAGGGTCAGGCCGTGGAATCGTGAAAACTAGGAATGGAAGAGCCAGAGGCTGGGAGAGAGCCAAGTGAGTACACTAGTTAGATGATTAAGGGAGGAGTGCCGGATAGGTTATATGAAGTGTTAGAGGGTTGGTAAAACTAGCTGCTTTCCATATCTTTATACGTACATGTAATTTACAAGAAAGCATTTATAGAGCTCATTACAATATAGAAAATTTAGAAAGTAAAATTCACAGTTTTATTCATTTGCTCAACAATGCTATACCTACTATGTGCCAACCACTGTTGTAGGTGCTAGGGATATACTGTAGTGAGCAAAACAAAAATTCTTCTTGTAGATCTTATATTTTTACATATTTACTTATCTAAGTATGACTGTTTTGATTGGAAAGCTGTGCTACCGTGAGTTTTTCTGGGGAAATTTCCCACCTTCCTTCTTTCCTTCCTTCCATTAATATTTATCAAGTAACCTGCTGTGCATTGGAGATACAAAGATTAAGTTAGACATGGTTCCTGCCCTAAAATTACAATGGAGAAAACAAAATTAAACAAGCAAGTATAAATAGTGTGATAAAGGCACAGTGTTCTAGGAGGCCATGCTATAACTCATATGTTTGAGGTCATAGAAGTTTTTTTTTTCCCCTGAGAGAGATATTTAGACAGACTTGAAGAGTAAATAGGAGTTAGCCAAATGTAGAGGTGGGGGAGTGGGGGAAGGATATTTATAGTAGAGAGAATAGCATGTTTAAGGAATAGAAAGTGATTTAGTATGGTTGGAACTAAGACTTTGAGGGATTGGGTTTTGAAGCGAGGTAAGCAGGGCCTGTGTTTTGAGTGCTTTGTAAACCATGTTAGGATAGGGTCCAAACTCTTTAAATGTAACGGGGACCTATAAAAATATTTTAAAATAAAATTTATATGATCAGTTTTATGTATTAAAAATATTATTGATTGTTGTGTGGAGAGTGAATTGAAAGATTGAAGATTGAAGCAATGCAGAGATGGATTATGGCAACTGAGACTAGGCTCCTAGTAAGGAACTTCTCAATGGGCCTGGAAAAGAAATGACAGATTTGAGAGAAATTTAGGAAGAGTTTAAGTCTAAGGATGCAACTTATGTTTCTAGCTTGTGCATTTGGGTGCATGTGTCATCATTAACGAATATAGGGACACAGGAGGAGAAACAGGTTTGGTAGGGTGAAGTATTTATTTTTAGACTTGTTTTGTCTGAATTGTCTCTGGAATGCCCTAATGAAAATGTAATAGAAGACAAAAAGATATACATGTCTGCAGAAATATTTGGACTGGGAATAAAGATTTGAGAGGAATCAACATGTAGATAGAAATGGAAGGGATGGGAGATCACTTGGGGGAAGTGTGGAGGTTGGGAGGAGGGCCTAGTGCCCTCTGAGAGGAAGAAGAATCTGCAAAATAAGCCAAAGAATATCTTAGAGGTAAAACAAAAATCAGGAGTATAGTATTACCTAAGCCAGGGTAAGAGACTTTCAAGGAGAAAAAGAAGTGATGAATAAGTGAGAAAATATATTTTCTCAGAAGCAAAATTGATTAAGGGCTAAAAATTGTCCGTTGGGTTTGGTACTAAGCAAGTTGTTAATAACCTTGCTGAGAGCAAATTTAGTTGAGAGGCAAGGAAGTAGTCTCAGTATATGAATACGGACAACTCATACCTTTAAGTTTTGCTGTAGATATGCAGCTGGAGATCTATACAGTAGTTGGAGTTGGACTTGAGCTTACGTGGAGAGTTTTGTCTTAAAGATAAGCGGCTTGAACATATTTATTATTTAGCCCCTGTAGGAAAGAATGAGTATAAATTGAAAGATGGAAGAAGGATCAGTCTTGGTGCCGTTACTGCTAAGCAGGTACAGAAAATAAATTTGATTACTGAGTTGAACAAACTTGAGGAACATGGCTTATGCTTAATAAACACTCAGAAGCTTAATTTACAGATGAGAAGAGCAGTTTTTTGTTTGTTTGGTTTTTTTTGCAGTATGCGGGCCTCTCACTGTTGTGGCCTCTCCCGCCGCGGAGCACAGGCTCCGGACGCGCAGGCTCAGCGGCCATGGCCCACGGGCCCAGCCGCTTCGCGGCACGCGGGATCCTCCCGGACCGGGGCACGAACCCGCATCCCCCGCATCAGCAGGCGGACTCCCAACTACTGTGCCACCAGGGAAGCCCGAGAAGAGCAGTTTTATAACTGTCATGGGGATCAAACACTGTCATCTCTTGTCTACATGTTCTTTTTTTTCCTTAGGAAAACCATATACATGAAATGCAAAATTATATTCTGAAGGCCACTTTTGAGCATGGAATCAGCAAGGGGAGTTAGTTGGGTATTTATAATGGCAAATGAAATCAACCCATTAATGCATTTAGCTTCACTTTAGGGCAGTGGCTCCTTCATGGACTGATTAGTAGTGCCTCTGGTTAGGTCCTGCTCTCTTTTGGACAGTGTTCATGATTACTGCCAGTTTTTACTTCCCTGAGTCTCCTTTTTTCTCCATGAATACTCTTTCTATGGTCTGTTCTTTCTGTATTAATCCTACTTAGATTTCAGACAAGTCTTTCTGCTTTCTTCTAGAGACATTCTTTTAGTGACTTTTTCAACCATTTAACTTATTCTGTTATGTGTTGATTTTATCAATACAACTTTGATTTCTGGTAATGCTTGTAGTGTCACCTATAATATTATTTATATAAATCAGTCAGATAAAAAAAATTATATAAAGGGCTTCCCTGGTGGCGCAGTGGTTGAGAGTTCGCCTGCCGATGCTGGGACACGGGTTCGTGCCCTGGTTCAGGAAGATCCCACATGCCGCGGAGCGGCTGGGCCCGTGAGCCATGGCTGCTGAGCCTGCGCGTCCGGAGCCTGTGCTCCGCAATGGGAGAGGCCACAACAGTGAGCGGCCCGCGTACCGCAAAAAAAAAAAAAATTATGTAAATATTTGAGATTTAAGTTATTTTTATGGCTAGCATATTTTAGATGTAGTTGGCATATTGATCAAAAAGAGAATAGCAAGCAATTTTTAAATAATATTTTTATTATAAAAGCAGATAATTTGGAAAATCCAAAATTTTGTAAAGAAGACAAAATCCTCCCATGATCTACTTATAACATTTTGTGTATAGGCTTTCAGTTTGTTTCCCATATATCTTTTTCCCTGTCTCCCATAAAACTGGCATATGGCCTTCTGGTCTTTGCTTAATGTATTATGAGTATTTTCTTACATCATTAAACGTTTTCTTTTATAAGATTTTCAGTGTTTACATAGATTTAGAACTTTTAATTCACTGTAATTTGTATATTGGATACGAGGAGTTCGCTTCTATCTTCAATATTTAAAAATAGCCATACAAGAAATATCCTCATCAAATTTTTGTGCACAACACAGATATTTTCCTTCAGATACATTCCTAAAAAAGGAATTTACTTAGAATAAGAGCGGTGAATATTTATGTTCTTGTTAGCAGTGTATGAGCATATCTACTTTACTTCATTGTCATCCATTAATGGGAATGTATTATTTGTATGTGTTTTGTTAATTTCATAGGAGAAAAACTTTATTTTAATTTGTATATTCAAATATTACAAATGTAATTGAATTGATTTTCACTTTTTTTGGCTATTTAATGTGTTTGTGTGTGTAAATTGCCTGTCATTAGTACTTTTTTGTCAGGGTGGAAGTGGAGAAAAAAGAGGTGTGGATAAGTGTTAAGCTTTTTTTCTCAAGGAGGAATAAGAATGTTACGGTGTTCCAAGGACATTTTTCAGTTATCTAAAAATAAAAGAAACCTTTTAATCTTTTTTGGAGGATTCATTTATTCATTTTTTATTCCTTAGCATGACTATATGAAAGAAGAAGAAGGTTTTCCTGAAGATGAGGCGACTGAATCGGAAGAAAACCTTAAGTTTGGTGAAAGAGTTGGATGCCTTTCCGAAAGTTCCTGACAGCTATGTAGAGACTTCAGCCAGTGGGGGTACAGGTGAGTATCAGTTCAAATTAAAACTCCTTCAGTAAGTGCAACTTCTAAGTTATCAATCAAGAGCATACAGAAATGTAGCCATGAGAAAGAACTCATCAATGAACTGTGCAGTAACTTTATAGTTGGTCTGTCCTCATGCCACACTATTTGCCTTAATTTTATTCTTATATATATTCTTTTTTGCATCCAACCCAATGCAGTCTATGCATTTAGCAGTGTTTATTAAAATATTACTGAACAAATTAATCCAGTTTTTCTGCTTTGGTGCTCTTGAGTTATGTATACGTATATTAACAAGATTATTATATGTAAATAGAATTGAAGTTGTTTAATGATGTTGAAACTGCCTCAGTCTGTTTTGGTTAAGAATAAGTCAATTTAGACATGATAATAAAAATTCTTAAATTTCACATTACTGAAGAGAGGCAGCATAGGGTAATAGTTAAGAGCTTAGACTTTGGAATCAGACTGTCTATATTTAAATTCCACCTCTGCCCCTTCCTAAATACTTGATCTTGAGGAAGTTAATCTGTCTATGCTTTAGTTTCTTCTTCCATGAAATGGGGATGCTATCAGTATTTGCCAGGTAGAGTTGCAGTAGCAATTAAATAAATTAATATTTATAAAATGCTCAGAGCAGTGCCTGGTACAGATAGTAGTATTTGTTAAATAAATAAATAATGAAATATATCAGAAAAATATGCAACTATAACAGTATTAACTATTATTTCTTTCCCCATGAAGAGCTGATAAGACAATATACTTCCCATAAGATTGACATTTCATTTAGTAAAATGTATAATAAATTGCTTGCTATTTCTAATCTCTTGTGATTAACTTTTGTTAATGAAAATAGTACAAGTTCTTGATGCACAATCCATTTTAAGTGCAGTTTGTCATAGTATATGATAGTGCTTTTTCTTTTTGTTAGATCTTTTAGTTTTATAAATGAAGTGAAATACTTAGGAGCTTTCAAAGTAGAAAGTTTTATTAGAGATTTGGAGATGTTATTTGAGATTCTGACACAGATTGTTGTGGATTCTTAGGATCTAAGAAATTAAGCTAGTTTTTTTTTTTTTTAATTGGACTATAGGCATGGATGCATTTTTAATTATGAGGGGACTACTTTCAAATTTGTGTTGTGAAACTTATGCTTACTTTCATCATTTATCTTATCTGTGACACTGCTATATATAACAAGGTAAAAGTTTTATGTATTTGTAGAATTTTGACAAATCTATTTAGTGAGAAATGTCCTTCGTATTGAAGAAATAAAATGCTTTCTCAATAGTGCAAATGTTTGTGTTCATTAAATCTTCATTTTTGAGCTATTTTAGAAAAAAATTTATAATGACTATTTTAAGAAAAACCTTTTATTGTATTCATTCATGTGGCAATCATATTAGGGTATTCTTTGCTAATTTTAATCTTACTTAAAATGGTTTCCTGCTGTTTACCTTTTAAAAATTGTTTTAATTCTTTCCTTTTTTGTTGGTTTCTCAGTTTCTCTAATAGCATTTACCACTATGGCTTTATTAACTATAATGGAATTTTCAGTATATCAAGATACATGGATGAAGTATGAATATGAAGTAGACAAGGATTTTTCTAGGTAACTTTTTTTTTGAAATACCTTTAGATTTAAATTGCTCTGAAGGTAACATGTTAAAAAAAAAAGTCTAACCTTTTATACTTGGTTTATTTTAATTCTGAAGAAATAGTACTGAAAAATCCTCATTAATTGTATGCATTAGGTAAAACATTTTAGAATAATTTGAATACTGGTTAAATTCTAAGAGAAAGGTTCTCTGATTGAATATGCATTTGTTTAAAAAGGTTAGGAGAATATGTTTTTCCTTAGATGTTGAAATGACGGAAATTGTTTGATGTTTTGAAATTGTTTACTCTAGATTTTGAAGTATCTTACTGATCTGTGTGAACTGGAAAATAAATTGTCTAAGGTTACATTGTTTATGCTTATAGCTTGATTGTTGTAAATTGTGTATAAACTATATTTTAAGGTAAACAGCATCACTTTTAAACCTTTGAAAATATTAGTACCTTAATTAGGAGACAAAATATACTTTATTTGTATTATTTGTATTTTTTAATTGATTGAAGATAACAGGTTTATAATACTTAGATTGCACTAGATAGCAGGAAACATTTACTTCTCAATTTCAATCCCAGCTCTGCCATTTACTAAGTATGTGACTTTAGGGAACTTACTAAATCTATTTCTGCGTGTGCTTCAGTTTCCTTTTCTGTAAAATGGGGATACTAATTATAGTACTTTCCTCTTCAGGTCAGTGAGAATTCAGTCAGTCAACATTTGTAATAGTTGCTGTGTAACCTTGGGCAAGTCATACAACTGACTTCTTTCGGGCCTCAGTTTCTTGATCTATAACATCAGTGTTATTCTTAATGCCATTAGTTTTTAAGGAATTTGTTGTTTTTCTTATTTTGGTTTTTTTTAGCACCAATGAAATAATTTTTATTCTTTCTAAATGAAGTCATGTAGTTCACCACATAAGTGTAGTGGGGATGCCTAGAAGCCTGTCTGCTTGACCTCACCCTCTTCCTATAAATCTGAGCCTAAACCCCAGGGTTATTTGGAACACAGTTTGAACTCTAGACTACTTTAAGACTCTGTGAAGTTCTAAAAATCTGTACTCCCTATTGAAACCGGATGAAAATTATTAGAGTGAAAAAAAGTTTTGATAGGAAGCGCAGGACAGGACTGATCCTGATTGTACTCATTCTGTTATTCATGGCACTGATTCTGATATTTGAAAATTAATTTGATTTGAACTAAATATTTGAAAATAAGGCATTGGTTGAGCCTTTTTAAAAGGCCATGCAAAACTTTAAGAATCAGGTTTTGTGGGTTTTTTTTTTCTGGTAATTTGGGTACATTCATCTTGAGTCACACAGACCTAGTTTCCAATATGCCACTTCAGTAGTTATGTGGTCTTAAGCCAGGCATTTATTTAAACTGCCGTAAACACCATTGGCTTATTTGTAGAACTGAAGCTATCTACTTTATAGGTCCATGGTAAGGAATAAAGAGGATAGTATTTGTAGGACATCAGGTACAATGCCTGATGTCTGGTATTTATTTGGTAAATAAGGAGAGAAAGGCTTTCAATTCCTAACTTTTGATTTTGAAAGTTTTGTATTGTTTAATGGCATAGTCTACGTAAGGTTTATGTAAACAGAGGTTAATACTTTTTTCTGAGTTGCTTGGACTTACTAATTGTAGAATTGCCATTAAAATGAAGGATACTGTGTTAAAAACTTGTGAAATCAGAAAGACTTTTGGAATTATTACAAAATAGGATTTTTACTTTTAAAGTGCCTTTGTTTTGCCCATATGAATGCTATCCAAGTTCTAATTGACATATTTTATTCTGTATGAAGTCCAAGTTTTTCATAGATCAGTTGATTTATATTGATCATGTTTTGTTGATCAATTGGTAGGTTCTAATGTTTCCTTTTTGTCTTTTAGCAAATTGAGAATCAATATAGATATTACTGTTGCCATGAAGTGTCAGTGTAAGTACGTGTTTAACCTGATGATTGCATATATAGATTATGGTTTAAACAGTTGCTAGTAAAAAGTAAAAGCCACTGGTTGTTTTAACTTTATTTTTCCTTTATGATATCTTAATTTAAGAATACAAAGTGTTTTTCTCCCCAGCTTGTATTCTTTAAATTTCTTCTCCATAAAGAGATTTAACTTTCACATTAGTATAATTAAAATGAAAGAAAATTGGAGGAAATTTTTATAAATCGAAGTTCTAGTTTAGGTATATCCTTTATTTCTTTCTTGTTTGGCATACTGATTTTTACATCCACATTCCAGAAACATATCCTCTTTCACAGTTTCAATTTACTACCCTTTACTTTTACTTCTGCATATTAAAATACAGATCCAAATCTTTTGAGTTAATGGTGATGTTACCCTTTTCTGTTTTCTTCGCTGGCTTCACTTAATTATACTGGTAGAAGTGGAAAAATGTTAATATGCTAGATAGATAATGTTTGAATCAGTATAGTTCTCAAAAATGAGGATGCTTTTTCATCTTAAATTGTGTCTTAAATTACTGCTTGAAAAGTAGAGACCGAGAATTCAGTAGTTCAGACAAAATTTTTTAAAGTGTGAAATCATTTTATCCAATTAAGGAAATTAATTTCTAAAAGATTTCATCTAAGAACAACCTTAAATCTCTTTTCCTTTTCCATTTATTTTTTCTTATGTTAGTGGTTAGTGGATATAGTTTGACTCTCAGCATAGAATATAAAACTTCTAATTCTTTTCTATGCAGATATTGGAGCAGATGTATTGGATTTAGCAGAAACAATGGTTGCATCTGCAGATGGTCTAGTTTATGAACCAGTAAGTTTGATTTACATGTTCTTTTAAATAGTATGCTTTGAGGAATTGTTCCCTTGAAGACAGTTTTGATATTTGCTTTTAATTTTGTCTGAGCTAGTTTTTTAAAAATATATTTTCTTAATTCAAAAGTAGTATACAACATTGTAAATCAGCTATACTTCAGTAAAAAATAAAACAAAAACAAAACAAACAGAAATATTCCATATTCTTTGTAAACATTTAGGGGGAAGAAAAAATTATATCTAATTACCAAATTATGTAAATATAATTACCAAATTATATCTAAACCAAAGCCTTGTTAGCATTCTGGATAAGCCTCTATAATCTTATACTTATTTTATATTTTTTGTTAATGCTTCCTAACAGTTTCCTTTTCTCTTTTATACAGTTGCTATAGTGATGAAATTTTCTTCTTTTCTTCTAATGATTTGGAAATTCTATGTCTTATTTGTATTCTTCTTTTACCAAATTTAAGTTCTTCAAAACGTTTGAGCTATATTTCTCTTGTAATCAAGAATGAAGCATTATCTAAGAGGAGAAATTTCATATGCATTTAGTTCTTCCTCTCTCCTTCACACCTCCATTTCCCAGACCTAATGAAATACTGACATTCTCTTATTGTTTTCATAGTACAAGTTGTGTGTAATAGAATTAATTTGTTAGAAAACACCATCACATTACAGGGGCAGGTATCACATTACAGGGGTGGGTGATAACAGGTCATGATCAGAACTAGCCCTAAAGAAGCTTTAGAAAACAAAGCATGGAACTCCCAGCTACTCTGCCTTGCTGACTGCTCTGTTGGCATTGTGGTACTTATGTTTACCCATGCGTTCTTGAGTTGTTTTGTTTACCATTGACAGTTGTGAACCCTCTTTAAACAAAATTGCAAAGTGAAGACTAAAGGTGATGGAGGAGGATTAGAAGTAACTGAATAGGTGGAGGAGAAAAAAGGGAAGCTCTTAGTTCAGTTTTGATTACCAAATTATTTTTAGTTTACATGAACAAAATATATTTATGCCTTTTGATACACACTTTTAAAATAAAATTTTCTAAAGAAAAAGTAACTTTTGTTACTGCCACTCTGAACCACCCTACTTCCTACCTCCTGTATTGCCACTCAAAAAATTGATATCAGTAATTTTAAATGAGGTTAGGAACCTTACAAATTCAGGTACCATGTTATTGCATGTTAAACTATTATCTGGAAATTTAGATCTAGATGATTATTATCAGACACTAACATTTGTATTCTGTTTCATACTATTTTAGGAATAATTATTCAACTTTATGTTTTATTGCTTTTACTTTCTACCCTTCTTAGTTTCTTTATTTTTGTTTATCGTTTTGTGAGGAACTTTTTGTGACTTCTTTATCAGCAAGAATCTGTGGGTTATGTTTTATGACAGACCGCCTATGTCATTCTGTTCTCAATGCATGTAAGGTTGGCTGAGGATAGAATTCTTGCTTTATGGTGTTTTACACTCAGAACTTTATAGACATTCCTTTATTGCCTTCTGGCACAATTTTTTTTTTCTTTGTAGGTAACATATTTATCTACTTATATGCTTTTTTCTTTTACTTTTGAAATTCAAATATTTATCCTGTATATCCAAGTGTGGATCCCCTTCAGTTATTTTTGGCTTTTGATGGTATTAATGATCTGAAGTTTTAAGTGTTTTTTGCTTGTTTGTTTGCTTTAATGATGTTCAGAGTAACGGTTTTACCTCTGTTTTTTAAAATTCTTATCAAGTGATGTTGAATTTCATGGAGTGGTTCTCAATATTTTTATCAATTCTTGCATAAGATGCATATTTTGAACTTTATCTGTGAGTTCTGGGAGATGACCTTGATCCAGCAGGATCAATCTTTTTTTTTTCAATGCCTTCATTATGTTTTAAAATTCAGTGATTATATTTTCCACCTTTGATATATTGCAGATCACTCCGTTTTTTTCTGTCTTCATGATGATAAATCTCATTGAGAAATAATTAGAAAAACTTCACTTTTCTTCTTCTTTTTAGAAATGGTATCACAAAGGAAAATTAGCCCTCGGACCTCAGATTTACCACTTCTTTCAAATTGATGAATCTTTTTGTCTATCTAGCTATCTAGCTATCTATTTTCTTGTTCATCTTTAGGATGGGAAAATAAATGGCCAGTTAACTGACTGAGAGTTGAGATAGACTTGAGTTATGTCGGTTCCCTTTCCCTCCCCACCCCCACTTTTTTTTTTTCCAGACGTAAATGAAAGGAGAAGGATATATAGTTTAGATATACTGTGTTTCTTCTAAGCAAAATTAGAGCTTCAGATGCTTTTGAAAAGAAAGGAGGAAGTCACATTGGGTTCAGGATGGCAGAGTAGTTCACCAGGGCACCCCACATTTCCTTTTCCGTATTTGTTTTGACAGGTTAAATTTAGCTAGGGTAATTCCTTTTTTCTTTAACTGGTGTGACTGTCCTCATTAGCAGCCAGCTGTAGCAGTAGTTTTGCTTAATTTAGAATACAGTCCAGGTCACATGTAAGCTGGGAATAATAATGCTGTGGAATGCCCTTTGTGATGTGGTCTCTGGTACTCGATTGAACTGCTAGAAGTCTTCTTAGGATGGTGACTGTCTCTTCCTCAAGTGTCTTGTTATCTTTTATCACCTGTTTTCCTCTGTTACTCTGAATTGGGGATTTACTGCTTACATGGATTTTCCTGTCCCATGAAATAAATTATGTGTTGGGCTCTTTTCTCAATTTAGTCTCCCTTGTATGCTGTCTTGCATAAGTTTTTGATAATTTCCAACATATGGATACTATTTAAAATGATTTAAAATAATGATACAGTTTGTGTCCTCATTTTTCTGTTTCTTTGGACATTGTGAGAATTTGAGGAGATAATCATCTTGAACTTATCCACTAAAATTTATTTATGCTGTTTTTCTGGCATTCGCTCCATACTGTCTGTCACTCCCACTCTCTTCACGTTTATTAAGTCTCTGATTTTTTTAATAAATATTTTTTCTGGACAGCTTGTCTCTTCAGCTAGATTCTAAGCTCCTGAAAAGCAATTACTTTATTTTTTCTTCTTTATAGCTCACGAAATGTAAAGCATAATGCATTGCAGGTATTAGGCACTGATGAATATGTTAGAATTATGTAATTGTGGCAGGATCTTTGATTATTCCATTTTTGATTATTCCATTGTAACAGCTTCTGCCATTTCTTTCAATCATTTGTAGAAGAGGAAAGTTTTATTTTAATTTAACTGTCATGAACTAAAAGTCATGTCTTAGCCAGAAAGTTAGAAACTTAAAAATATGTAATTGTATATTTTTATCAGTAATTTTTAAAACGTTTAACAGTGTTTCTGGTAAGTATTCATTCCCTTGTCCTAATTTATATTAAAATATTTAAGAATTATTATTAATGTAAAATTATTTGAGATAATTTTTACTTGTTTTTAAATTTTCACTCATTCTTTTAATATGCAGTCTGAATATTAAAAACTTAATTCTAATAATTTTACTGGTTTCTAAACCATGATCACACAATATGCTATGATAGCTACTATTTATTTAAAGAAAAGAACTACTTTTAGGGATGTGAGAAAGTGAGGAATCTGACATAGTTGGGTTTATATACTGACCTTCATTATCTGTGATTTTTCAAAAAATTTTTTAATCTTTTGAGTTCTTTTTTATATATAAAAAGGAGAGAATAATAACAAACTCACAAGGTTGTTATGAAGGTTAAGTGAGATAATGATTTAAGTAGCATAGTGCCGAGCACAAAGTAGGCCACTCAGTAGTTCTTTACCCGCTGTGTTAAGCACTATACCGAGCAGTTTGGGGAAGTCAAAGGGTGAATCACATAGTCCCTGCTGTCAGTAGTTTTATTCACAAGGTAACTGGGGAGTAGTTGCATGTAGCCTCATCTGTTGGCCATGGTGTGTTTTATAGCACTTTCTTTGTGTGCTGTGCTGTGAAAAAGGTTGGGAAGCAAGGTATAGACAAGTTCAGCAGGAGGAGTAATCAAAGTAATTTCACTGTAATCATTAACCTAGAGCAAGTGGCATATAGAATTTAGACTGACATTAGGGTCACAGTTACAGGAGAGGAAGGTTCCAGGTTGATATAATTAAATAACCAAAGGCACAGAGGTAGAATTGTCTGATGGAATGAGGGGTTAAAGAGAAAGGATTTATAGTGAGAGAGTAGTAGGTTAGGGCATGATTATGGAGGGATCATTAATGATATTGATAAGTTAGAAAGTAGAATTAATATGCCTTGTTATAAATCGCCTTTTAAAAATCAAAAGTGGACTTTTTGTTGGAAAATTAAATTGTGGGTATTGCCACAAACTGTGAGAAGTTTGCCTCTTTTCCTCTGATTCTACAAAGTAGCTAAGTTTGTCTTTGAATTGGTGAACATAGTGCCTAGATAAAATTTCTTGAATTATTCTTTCTTGATTAATACATGTGGGAATTATAGTGACATTGTTAGGTCATTTCAAAACTTTTTGATTTTATCATGGTATTTTCCTGGCAAGAATATGGGCTTTGGATGCTTGAATATTATACTTAAGCTGTATGTCTTTTTCATTTCTTCTTCTCTTTTAAATACTTAAGTTTCATGCTGGCATCATTTAAATGATTTTAAGTCTTAAAATACCATTTTGTACATGTGATAGATTGCATTGTATCCATTCCTATAAATGTAGATAACTGTAATAGAAAAATATTCGCAATTAGTGAAATTTCTTTATACTACTTTTGAGTAAAATTAAAAATTTTTTAGTTTGACTTATGGAAGATTAAATGTAAATTATGAATACTTGTTTTTAATGTTATTATAAATTTGTTCCTTGGTCAAAGAAAATTTTAAAAAATTATGATATAAGAGCCAAGAGAAATTGACAGTGCTAGTGATTATGTTTTCCTTTATTTCAGGCAATATTTGATCTTTCACCACAGCAAAAAGAGTGGCAGAGGTAACAAGTAAACAAAGTATTGTGGTCCATAGAAATTAGATCATGCTTTGTCTATTTTGTCTACTGTATATTATTCATAGATTAATATATTTATCTAGGCATTTCTTTGGATGAAATATTAGCAGAATATAGTATATAACATAATCTTTACACTTTCAAAGATTTTATCAGATCTTAGGAAAGTCATATAATCTTTAATGCACTTTGAATCATAAATACATTTTAGTTTTCATTTAAAATTGTATTAACTATTTAAAAAATTTTAAAAGCAATATATGATCAAATTTGAATATAAAGGATATAAAGTGAAAGTAAAAGCCTCCTCATCATTCTCTAAACCTAGTGCCACTAACTGGTGGTAATAACTAGAGTTAAATTTCTTGTGTAGCCTGCTACAAATATTCTGTTTGTGTATAATTTTCTACATGTTTCCATATTTGCTTATGTTATTTTTTTCCTAATACAAATGGGGTCATTCTATACATTTGTTTTATAACTTTCTTTTTCCAACCTAACCTTATATTTTGCACATCTTCCCACTTAAGTACATATAGTGGTACCCTTTATGGATAAGCTATAATTTATTTAATTGGATACTTATCGATGGGCATTTAGATTGCTTGCAAAGATTCTAATATCAATGCTCAGTGAAAATTCTTGAATCTAATTCCTGTGTGAATGTATATATATATATATATATATATATACATATTCCTCATGTACTTGAGTGAATATATGTATATATATATAAAGTTTCTAGAAAAGAAATTTATCTTTTAGAGTATATTTAATGTTTTGATAAGTTCTCATGACAAGGAAGAAAATTTGTAATGGTGAGGTAGGTGGTGGTTGTTAACTAAACTTACGGTGGTAATCATTTCACATATATACATCTGTCAAATCATATGTTTATACCTTAGTCTTATACAATGTTATATATTAGTAAAACTGGAAAAAAATTTTGATAGATAATGCCAAACATCTTCCCCAAATAGTTTCATTTATATTCCAAAGCTATCAATATGTGAGAGTACTTGTTTCTATACAACCTCACCAACAGTGGGTATAACCAGACTTTTTTTATTTTTGCCAATTTGATTCGTGAAAACTGGTATTGTACTTGTTTTAGTTAGCATTTCTTTGTAAATCAGTTTAATATCTGTGGATTATTTTTTTCCCATTTGTATTTTTGTGTGTGTGAAACTAATTGCTCATGCCGTATGCCCATTTTGCTTGATTGTTTTCTTAATAACTTTAAATAATTTTTTTTGTTGTTTTGTTTGTTTTTTGGCTGCATTGGGTCTTTGTTGCTACGCAAGGGCTTTCTCTAGTTGTGGCGAGCGGGGTGGGGGGGTGGGGGTGGGGGTGGCGCTGCTCTTCATTGCGGTGCTGGGCTTCTCATTGCAGTGGCTTCTCTTGTTGCGGAGCACGGGCTCTAGGCACACGGGCTTCAGTAGCCATGGCTCGTGGGCTCTAGAGTGGAGCGCAGGCTCAGTAGTTGTGGCACACAGGCTTAGTTGCTCCGCGGCATATGAGATCTTCTTGGACCAGGGCTCAAACCCATGTCCCCTGCATTGGCAGGTGGATTCTTAACCACTGCGCCACCAGGGAAGCCCAATTTTTTGTATATTAAAGAAATTAGTTCTTTGTTTTAAATAGTTACCCCATCCCCACTCTTTTCTTTCTTTTTGTTTTCTAGACTATGTCTTATGCTTAAAAAGGCATTACCTAGTTTAAGATTATTACAAAAAAATTTTTTTACCCATTTTTTTTTTTGTTTCTTTCTAGTCCCTAAGTACATTTCAAAGGCCTTTCTCTTTTAATTTCTACTTTCACCATTTGGAGAGCTTTTAAAATTAAAGTTGAAACGAATGTATTGAACAAAATAACTGAATATTAGGTGTCTCTGGGCTTCTAGCGCTTTTAGTAGAGAGCCATCCAGAGATGAAATACATTACTTTATTCCAGAAATGTTAAAGTGAGAAGTCTCCTTTCATCTAGAATTTTATTTAGTGTTCAAGACTAGTAGTAAGTGAGAGAAGAGATTGTGTTTTTACTGTTAAAATGATAGACATTTTCCATCGTAGTAGAATTTTCTACATCCTTTTATATATGGAATATAAACTTGGGTATTTATTGGTATATTTGAGGCAGAAGTTATACACGTATACACACACACACACACACACACACACACACACACACACACACACACAGAGTTTGGTGTCATCAACCTCTTTTCCCACTGCCCAGCACTAAAAGTTAAACTCTGGAAACAGAAGACACACATACAGCATACAGTTTGGTGTCATCAACCTCTTTTCCCACTGACCAAGCAATAAAAGTTGAACTCTGGAAATACAAGACATGCAAAAATATGAAGCTTTCAATTTCTGTTAGCATTAGATCTAAAGATTTTAAGTCTTTGTACATGTAAATCTGAAGATGGGATCTGGCCTCTTGAAGCTTCCTAGATTATCATGTTCTGCTTCTAAACAAATATTCTTGAATGGATTAGAGATGCCTAAGACCTAACAACCTGAATAATGTGCATACCAAAACGTTCTTTACCTGTAGAATTTGCTAAAAGATATTTAAGTTGTCTTTCAATTGTTCTGCTTTCTTAAAATATTTAGGATCCCAATTAATCTCTTTCCTTTAGTAAAAGGAAATATCAAAGCCTAGACATAGCCTTCCTGATTACTGTTTTTTTTATACTAAATTTACAGTATAAAAATGACTTTTTATTTTAAATAGGCCTGTTACCAGTGTTCTTAGTGGGTGGTACATACGTATTTTATCTTTATCTCTCGCTTGCACTTCTAAAAAATGTTTATTATATCATTATGATGGGATGAGAAATATATTCTCATTTACATTTGCTTCTTCTTTAAGTTCCTATGTTTGTTAATAATTTTTCCAAGTTATTTATGTGTGTGTATGTATGTGTATATATATTTTAAAGACTTTTTAAGAGTATTTTTAGGTTTACAGCAAAACTGAGTGAAAAGTACAGAGTACCCAAATATCCCCTGCCCCCACCCATGTACAGCCTCCATTGTTATCAATATCCCACACCAGAGTAGTACATTTCTTACAGTCTATGCACCTACATGAACACATCATTATTGCCCAGAGTCCATAGTTTACGTTAGAGTTCACTCTTGGAGATGTACACTCTTTGAGTTTTAACAAATACATAATGACATGTACTCACCATTACAGTACCTGTAGTTTTACTGCCCTGAAAATTCCCAGTTTTGTCTATTCATCCCTCCTTTCCCTCTGGGTGTAAATTTTGTACTTGCTGAGTTTGAACTGTGATACAGGTGACTTTGGATGTTAGTTATATAAAGATATAGATTAAAGGATATAAAATAGGATTATATCTAAAGATACAAAGTTATTGTTGAAAATGTTAGAAATATTAGAGAGAAGAAATACTTTTATTCTTGGTTTTGTTCTTCAGAATAAGTAATTTCATGAGTTATGTAAATGCAACAATTTTGTAAAAAAAAAAAAATCTTCAAGCAACTAATGTGTTTTTAGTGGCAAAGTATATTTAAAAAGAAAATCTAAGCATGAGTTCTCAAATGAATACTTTGTTCTCTATAATCCTATACCTTATATGCTGATGTTCTTTTTAAAAATTATAGGTAGAATATAATAGTTCGTTTAGAATGGTCTTGTCATAGGATAAAGTTCAGGTTTCTTTGGAAAAGGCAGACACTAGGTGATATTAAATGTCACTGTGGCCTGGTTTGTAATGAGAATTGGATGCTTCTGTGTGGATTTAACCCCCAGTAACATGCCCCTTTAAGTCCATCACATCTATTATGTGGCCCCTTATTTGTCTCATTCTTTGTATCTGTAACACTTTATTCAGTGCCCGACAAAAACTAAGAATTTTGTTATTGCTGCGTGCATGCATGAAAGATGAATTTAGATATTCAGGTGAACAGAAGTTCTTTCTTGGTGACCCTGATTCCACCAATAATGGACATGTAATTAGTGTCCACACATTCATTACTGATGGAATTAGACAGACTTAAGGACCCCAGCTGTTACACCTCTAGCCATACTCCCTCACTTTTCCTGCTTTCAAGGAAATGACCAAAGAATACTTGGGACTTTATTTTAGAATAAAGTTATGTAATAATAAATGTATGGCTTAGCTAAGTCAACTACCTGTGTTATTTTTAAAATAGTGTTGGCTTTCTCTGTGTGTCTTACTGTATTTGTTAACTATTGCTTGTTTTTGTATTTAGGATGCTACAGCTGATTCAGAGTAGACTGCAAGAAGAACATTCACTTCAAGATGTGATCTTTAAAAGTGCTTTTAAAAGTGCATCAACAGCACTTCCACCAAGGTGGGAGATTTTGTGAGACTATTTATTAAGAATTTATTGGGGCTTCCCTGGTGGCGCAGTGCTTGAGAGTCCGCCTGCCGATGCAGGGGACATGGGTTCGTGCCCTGGTCCGGGAAGATCCCACATGCCGCAGAGCGGCTGGGCCCGTGAGCCATGGCCACTGAGCCTGCGCGTCCGGAGCCTGTGTTCCGCAACGGGAGAGGCCACAACAGTGAGAGGCCCGCGTACCACAAAAAAAAAAAAAGAAAAAAAAAAGAATTTATTGTGACATAATTTTAGTATTGGTTTACTCCTCTGAATCTTATATTTCTTAGAGAAAATGTAATCATTCTGTATGATGAGATGTCTTTTTTTTTTTTTTTGGCCGCACCGTGCGGCATATGGGATCTTAGTTCCCCAACCAGGGATTGAACCCGCACCCCCTGCAGTGGAAGCGCGGAATCTTAACCACTGGACCGCCAGGGAAGTCTCAAGATGTCTTTTTTACTCTTAAATTTATGGCCTATGATACTGATCAGGATTATCCCAAATATTATTTTCATTTTTATGTGTGTATGGTATACCTTCATATAAAATTGTACTAGGTTTTAAGAACAAATTAATTTCATTTACCATTATGAAGATGTATAAAGTTTTGTTAGGAATTTCATGTTTTTATTTCACTTTTTGTCTCTTTTATAGATTAGAAGAGCTGATATTTGGAAATGCTATAATCATGAAAATGATCATTTAAATTTAAAAATATACAGAGGTTTTACATTTGCTTAGGAAGAAAATGTTATTGTCTATTTGAAGTTAAGTGGCATGCCCTTCCCTTACTCATTCTTTTTCCCAACGCTTCCTGTCCCCTAAAGTACCAGAAACATGATAAAAGCATGTCTTTGTTGGACTAGTAATTCTTTACTTTTAATTTTTCTTCTCTCATTAGACTTAGTCCTCTGGTTAAATTTGAATGACCTTGAAATTTATATTTGTGTAAATAATATATATATATAATAATTATATAATTTTTTTCATTTTGTAGATGTTTTTTAATAAAAGTGTAGACTTCAAAAAACTGCTATTCTACTTTTGACATTTAGAACATTATCTAAAAATTGATCTTTAGGGATTTTTTTTTTTTCCCATCTATAAAATTTTCTCACCAGAAATATGGTGACTATATTGAATACGCTGTAAGTAATTCAAATGTATCTTGTTGTAACAGGGAAGATGATTCATCACAGCCTCCAGATGCTTGCAGAATTCGTGGTCATCTATATGTCAATAAAGTAGCGGGGAATTTTCACATAACTGTGGGCAAGTATGTTCTTTTCACTTACTGAAAATACTTTAAACAAGTTGGCAGTTTGGTTAAAAGTAAATTCTTTGTTAATCAAATAATATATAACTAACCACTAGAGAACTCTTAAAATGTGTATTTTTTATGTCTTCAGCCTTCAACCTCAGGATAGAGAAGACTACTAACTTTAAAAACTACTGCTTCAAAACAAAAGAAAAATAGTCATGTCATATTTCATATATTAAAGTATATAAGTTGTAGGTAAATATGAATTAAAACCTTCAGCTTGCCAAGTTTTAGTAGCCAGAAAGCTCTTACCTAGACATTTCATTAATTTGTTCATTTTGTTGGATATTAGGTTTTTGTTTTGTTTTTCCTTTTGGTGATCCTCATCAAAATATAATCCCTGACCAGTACGAGACAAGTATTTTGATGTAGTTAGAAATATGTCTGGGATAAAGTTAAATTGGGTAAATGTTAAGGAAAAATATCAGACCACCTGCCTTCATGAGCAGAACCCAACACAGAAACTGTCATATAATAAACACTTGGTAAATTCCTGAATGAATAAATAGATTCTCTGATTATCTCCTCTCTCTTTCTCTGCTTTTCTCCCTGCCTTCCTTCCTTCCATCTAGACTTGCAAAGCTGAACAATTCTTCATTGCAAAAGAAGAGTATTTTTTGAGTACTTGCTATGTGCAAAGTACCATGGTAGATACTAAAGATGAAGCAGTGAAAAACAGAGAAGGGGTTTTTGCCCTTATGATGCTGACATTCTGTGAGAGAATCTGAATTTTAAACAGTGAATTACACTAATAATTATTTAATTATAGTTGTATTGAAGTTATAAAGGAAAACTATGGCTGATAAGAAACTATATAACAAGGTACCTGACCTACTCTGCAAGTCAGTGGAGGCTTTATTGAGGGAAACCTTTGAACACTAATGGATGGTTAGGAATTTTATATATAAAAGGAGAGAATGGCATCTAGACTGAGGGAAAGGCCATAGAGCAGGACAGAGCGTGGCTGGAGATTTTTTAAATATATAGAGACAGCATTAGACTTCTATGCAAAATTATTTCAGTGTTTACAGTGATCAGATCAAATCAGGCATTTGCTTTGTCTTTGTTTTGTTTTTTTGGCCGTGCCACATGGGTTGTGAGATCTTACTTCCTCAACCAGGGGTTAAACCCGGGCCCTCGGCAGTGAAAGTGCTGAGTCCTAACCACTGGGCTGCCAGGGAATTCCCTGCTTTGTCTTTGTTATCCCACTCTTCTTAACATTCATGTTTTGTTGTTTTGTTACTGTTGCCAGGACCTATTCTCTCCATCCCCAACCTGTAGATGGGAACCTTAGAATTTCTTGGTATCATATAGTCAACAAATGATAGTTGGCTCAAAGAAATTTAGAAGGTTTTATTGCACTTCTGAATAAAAACAATATCCTACTCCAAAACTAACTGAAAGAGGGAAACGTTGACAAATATTGGAAGAACTTCTATATTTTGGCCTTTGTTCTCAATTTCACTTACCTCTCCATGTGATAACTCATCTTATCAATAAGAGAGGCCAAATGGAAAAGCATTTGGTTTGTATCCTATCCTTATCTTATCTGGGATTTTGAAAATCGGGAATGTCAACTCTAAACCCCAGTTAAGCAAAATGTTATCTCCCAGCAAAAATACCTGGATTCCAAAAAAGTACTCAATTACTACTATTATAATTTGAATTTCATTAATAAGTTTCTAAAAATTTGTTTTCTCTCTTGTTATGTAACTACATAATATCTTCAGTTTTGCATCTTGGCCCACAAAACCTAAAATATTTACTGTCTGACTCTTTACAGAAAACGTTTGCCAACCCCCAGTTTATTGCATTACTGAGATGAGATTTACCTACTTAAATCATGGGCCAAGTATGTTGTTATATTATTTTATACTAAGAAAATTATATAACTTAGGAAAGATCCCCTTTATGATTTTAATTAGTTATGTATTTAAATGTTATTACTTTAATCTTTTCTTCCTCCTTTCAGGGCAATTCCACATCCCCGAGGTCATGCACACTTGGCAGCACTTGTCAACCACGACTGTAAGCAGTTTCTGAAATTTCTTTCTGTGAAGATGTCCTTGCAAAACAAGTGTGTTTTTTAATTTTTAGTGCAGGTGCGAGGTAGGGCTTTGGAAGTGGGGTATGCCGAAAGAAGATATCTAAAGGAGAAAATAAATGATCTAACTTATTGACTAATCCATTTTCTCTTGTCTTTAAGCTACCTATATTTCTTTTTAGCCATAGCTCAGAAGTTGCTGAGGTAGGGAGAAGCACCCTTGGTGTGCTTTATATCACTTAGTACACATTTCTGCTAATTTTTTTTTTTTCTGATAGTTTTTACAGATAGTGAAGAGAATATATTTGAAACTTGTTTAAATATGTAAATTTAAATCTGGACATTTACACACATATATAAAGTATTCAAGTTAGTTTTGTGTAATGATTATCATAAAACTTAGTTTTTAAAGTCTCCTTTAGACAACAAAAACAAGTAATAAATTCCATAAAAAACAAGTTTAGTTACATAAATGTGCTAAAGCAATAGTGTGTATTAAAAATATACCTGATCAGTTTCATGGACATCATCTCAGTTCTTCTAACACAATCCTGTTTCTATATGATGATTTGGACTAGAAAAGACTTATTTTTTTGTTTATCAGAATTAGATGTCATATTATTTCTTAGATATTAATTTGTATATAATTATGAAATTTGCGATATAGCATTTTATCAGAATGTGTTTACCTCTATACATATAATTCCCACATATTTGCATGCATTTTTCTTAAAATAATATGTTTTTAAATACTATATTATTATACCAGCAGATTTTAGATATTTTCATTTGAGAATAGGTAAGAGTGTGAACTAATCTGTAACATGTAGTTTTGAATAATTTAATTTCTCTACTTAATTTTTTTTTTTTTTTGCCTCTTAGCTTACAATTTTTCTCATAGAATAGATCATTTGTCTTTTGGAGAGCTTGTTCCAGGAATTATTAATCCTTTAGATGGAACTGAAAAAATTGCATTCGATCGTAAGTATTTAATAATTACTGTTGGAATTTGCATGTAAGCAAATAGTTCTTATAACTTTGATATTAATACATTTTAAATAAACCTCTTCCTTAACCCCCTTGTAACAGATAAACGGATAAATCTTGAAGTGGTTTAAATGGCTGATCATCTTTAAGTGGAGATGTGTGTAAGAGAATTTGTTCTAGTAGTGGATGAATTTTAAATGGTAAAAAATGAGCCATGGAACAGAATAAGAAATTAGTCAGAAGTAGTCAGGAGAAGGAGTAGAATTTAAAGGCTCTCTAAGTATATGAAAGGTTAATGTATTAAGAGGGCATAACTGCTTTTTCATGTTCAACAAAGAAAGAATAAGAACAAAAGAAAGTTTGAACATTATAAGAAAAATTTTCTTCTTTGTGTAGGTTCAGAGTTCTAAAATCTATACAATATTTACCATATCAGAAACCTCTCTAGAGAATTTTACAGACATCAGAAACCTAGAGTTCTTCTAGAATGGTTTGGTATTAACACAGTCAGAAGTAGTACAGATACCTTTTATTACTGTTTGTTTTAACCATCTATTCCATTTAAAATTTCAGTTTATGCAAATATGGATGGATTATTAAGGAATTAAAAGGTTTTTTGGTTTCTGATGTTTGTTTTTTGAAGATTTTTGGTTGCCTTTCTTCTTAAATAGTCATATTATATGCCTTAAGGACGTCTAAAGCTTCCTGTGCCACTAGGAATTCTAGCCTTTGCAAAACTGTAATTAAGGATTTCATTTTTTATTAATTCAAATAGATTTATTCATGTTCTTTTCAGTATTTTACTCTTTTAGCATAGTGTCGTAATCATACATTAAACATGTTTTATTTAGAATTCATGAGTATTTTATGTTTGTGTGGGAATGTTTCACTCAAGGAAGCTTGAGAGTACTAAATTTGGAAATGTGTGAGTAGAAACATTCTGAGAATTACAAGCTTTGTTCTGTGTAATCTCATCTTTAAGTATGTGTTCATTCTACACCAAAATACATTAAATATTACAAGAGATGCGCAATTGAAAACATGTTGGTTAATACTTTGTTTCAAGATGCTGAAATGAACTATACATTTTTGTAAAGAAGCAGATCTAAATATGAACAGATTAGTTTTCAAAAGGCTCTTTAAATTTACATGTTCAGGAAGACTAAGAGGTGTTTAGAATTATTTTATAAAATGGCATGAGATGAATGTCAGTAGGTTATTCAAAGCTTTAAAGCAGGTATACTCTTCTCCTTCCTAATATATGTTCTATTGGGCCTCTTTTTCGATAAAGAAAAAATTCAGCATTACAGATCTGTTGGATTCAGGTAACTACCCTCTCCTTCATGTAGGAATTTTGAGGGGATTACTTAGCAGTGACATGTTTAATGCTGTGCAGATTTGGACAGACCTATAGCCTTTGGAACAGTTTGTGGCTTGCAACAAAATCTAATGCAAGAGCATTTTCCCCCTGCCTGGCCATTAAGTTATCTAACAGACTTATATATTAGACAAATAGGTCTTCAGCAGTTCTCTCTCCATAGCTTAAAAGGTTTCCAATTTTCCCTGTCAAGTTTCTTTGACCCGCTTTGGCTACTGTTCATTGCATTGGACTTCATTCCGCACGTGGTGAGATTTCCTTTGTCTCTCATTTTTTTCCCTCAAGTCTAATTATCCCACCCATGTGTACAGCATTGGTTATAACCTCACCACTCTCAATTTCATCTTCTTTTTCATAAATACTTCGTACTTGAACACCTTCTCCGCTCATTTTTAGCTTATTTTTGTTTATGACGTAATAGAGATATTTGTAAAACACCTCAAAAATAAGCACAGATTGAGCAGTTCACTTTACATCAGAGAACAACTCAAAGGATGAAAGATCGTCCACAATTGATAAGCCATTTATTGGTGGTGGACAAAGTTGACACACTTGCTCTAACATTATCTGTGGTAATATTTAGGATTTAAGTTGAAATTAATAATAGAACTGGCCAAAAACTGTTTTATGTTTTTGAAAGTTATAGTGGTACAAGTGGTAGTTATAGTGGTAGGTGAAATAAGAAATGGTGAAGTTGAAACAGGCTTTGCTTTATTTTGTTAGAAACTTGTTTAATGTTAGTGTTGAAGAGACCATTAGTCTGACCTCTCCCTTCTATCTACAATTTTAACTTTCCCTCTCCTATTCTGAATTACAGTGAGATAAGAGACAGAGAAATTGAACTGATGGAAATAAAAATAAAAATTAATTCATGGTAGACACATGAAAGTACATACTGTATACCTCCATTTATATGCAATTCTAGAATAGGCAAAACGAGTCTGTAACAATAGAAGGTAGATTAGTGGTTGGCCTAGGACCAGAGGTGGAAGGGATTGACTAAAAAGGGGTTCAAAGGAACTCTTTGGGGTGATTAAAATGTTTTCTATTTTGATAGTGGTGGTGATTGTATGGATAAAAACATTTGTCAAAATTTATCAAACCATACATTTAAAATTTATATATTTTATTCATGTACTCAGTTGTCATAGACAGTTATCACCATGTGACGTGAAGTACATCGCAAACGTAATGAGGCCCTATTCACTTAACCTAGCTGAAACTATAGATAGATGTATCTAGTTCTAAATTTTCTAGAATGTAGACCTAGAGAATTAACATGTTTTGTATTATGTGAACTGTTAATTGCTTAAAATTAATTAATAATTAGTAATATACTGGTGTTTATGACTTGTATTAAACCTATAAATGCCTAATGACTATATAAATATGATCATTTTGATTACGTAGTAACCCCAGGCCATCATTGAGTTGTTTCTTTGCTTATTTTCCTACTGTAGTATTGATTCTTTGTATTTATCCAAAGGCTACATTTTGGTTTATATATCCAATAGCTAATTCAGTTTTGGTTTATTTATTTCTGTTCAGATATTAGTAGAAACTGAAAATGTGTCTTGTGGTGGTTATGCTATTATAACTTTATTTTTATTAGTTTCTGTACTATAAAGAAATGCTTTTATTTTCCATATTTTGTAAAAGGATGATAACGATTATAAAAGATATCTAACTAGATAACTAGCTCATCTTTTTTGACATCTTCTAATAGATGTGTGTCTGTGTCTGTGTGACTATTTTATGCTTACTGAGAACTTGTTTTACCAAATGTGAATATATTGCTTTCATTGATTCTTTTATAATATTTTTTTGTTAGACATTAAGTTATAAGTAGCATTAAATTTCAGATTAGATGTATTTAATAGAAGGCTGATGTATTTGGCAGTAGTTTCATTGCTACTGGATTGATGAAAAAAACCTACATTTTGTTTTTATTCTAGACAACCAGATGTTCCAATATTTTATTACAATCGTGCCAACAAAACTCCATACATATAAAATTTCAGCAGACACCCATCAGTTTTCTGTGACAGAAAGGGTAAGTTGAATCCAACTGGTAAAATTATTTTTTTAAAGCATTTTATAGTCCCGCTACAAAATTAGTTTGGAGTTTCAGGTAATGCCCTCCCCCATTTAAAATTTGAAATGCATTGACATTTTATTTTAAGTCAATAAAATATCAGAAATGGGTATTAAGTATGTTTTGGAGTAAGAAAAGAAGTAGATTTAAAAAATCTGGAATGTTTTCCATTCAATTAGTAAAAAATTATTAAACTATGATATTAATTATTTTACTCTTAATATCTTAATACTTGTTTTCCCATGTACTGGTATAAGCAGTTTTTTTTAATCTGCCAGCAGATTTTCTGATTTCTCTGTTATTTATTTTTTACTTAATGTATCTACCCTGGGACACGCATGGTTATTGTGACTCAGATAGCAGATTTAGAGGGTTTGCCTTCCTAATTTAGGGCTTCATCTTCATCTGATTGAGAGGACAGACATTCTGCAACCTTAGGGTGGAGTGGCCTTATAAGTAAATATTGATAATGAGAAGCAGAATTTTGGAATTGGGCAGTTTAACAGATTTCTCACTTACTCTGGGACCATGTTTTCTTTCTTTCTTTCATTCTTTTTGTTGTTAATTTTTAATTTTTATAAGCTATGTTTTCTTATTGTGTTCAAGAATGGTGAATATTCAAATACTAGTATCCAGAAGAATTCCAGAATTTAAGTGCTTTTAAAAATTTGCTTTCGGGCTTCCCTGGTGGCGCAGTGGTTGAGAGTCCGTCTGCCGATGCAGGGGACACAGGTTCGTGCCCCGGTCCAGGAGGATCCCACGTGCCGTGGAGCGGCTGGGCCCGTGAGCCAGGGCCGCTGAGCCTGCGCGTCCGGAGCCTGTGCTCCACAACGGGAGAGGCCACAGCAGTGAGAGGCCCGTGTACAGCAAAAAAAAGAAAAATAAAATAAAATTTGCTTTCCTCCATATGAAATTTTCCTTTGATAGTCTTATAACTTGTGTTGACTATGTCCTCAGTAATTGTAGAGTTTTCCTTATTCTTGGGAAACTAAATACTAAAGTTTTTAGGGGTGAAGTGTCATGTGTTTATAACTTTTCAAATGGTTCAGGAGGAAAAATCAAGTATGTGTAACTCGGTGTGTGTGTGTGCGCATGCGCATGCTCACGTGCAGAGAGAAATAGAAACTAGGTAAAGTGTCTACAAGTATATATTGTGCTTTTTAGCATTTCTTTATGGGTGGGGAGATAACCATTTCTCACTAAGGTTGGCAACACCTGAAGGTCAGGCAGTCTACACCACAGCACGACTTTGGGGAAAACAGGCATGCATACATTGCTAAGGAAAATGGCATAGTCTCTTGGAAGGGAGTTTGGCAATATCTGCAAAATGACATATGCATTTACCTTTTGACCCAGCAATCCCACTTCTAGAAATTAAATCCAAAGATATGGTGGAAAAAAAGTGATGTTGTATATGAGATTATTCGTTTTGTTACTTGTAATGACAGAAGACTGGAAGCAACCCAAGTGATACATCGACACAATGGAGGAACATGCAACTTTAAAAAAAAGAGAGAGAAAGATATCTATATACTGATACGAAATTATCTCCAGGATGTATTTTAAATAACAAAAATAACAAGAAAAAAAAAAAGAATCACAGAGCATTTGACCTTTGTGGGATGTGTTAGTACTGATAGGACAACTACAGTGGTTGTATTTCACTTTAAAAAAAAAAGGAGTAACTGGAGTTGGTAGAGTGGAGGATGAGAAGGACAGGGCTGACCTTCATTGGTCCTAGACCAAAAGCGAATCATTATGAGTCTTTTGTTATGTAGACACCGTGATCCCTAAAACAATATCCACTCACATAGGTGATGACAATATATTTATAATTTTGGCAAAATATTGAACTTATCAGAACTTAAAGATGAAGTCACTTTATATTGGAAACTTGATCAATGGCTTATAAGGCTCTGTTGTGCTAATAGGCAAAGAGGTTTTGTAATGCCCACATGAAATTGTTTTAATTTCCCACGTTACTTGTCTTCCTAAAGCTTGCAGTTTAGTTACAGCTTAGTAAAAACAGGTAGGGCCTGACACAAAAATCATAGCAAAGCACTGTGGTAGCATAGTTGTTTCATGCTATAATAGAAATTTGCAAACTTGAGTTTTGAAGTGTAAACAGAATGGAATGAAACAATATATTCTCACTCAGTGTGCACACTGTGGTAGGTTTATAATTTTAGTTACGCTCCTTTCAAGAAAAATTTCCTTTAAAAACTGAACCAGTAGCTCAGATATTGATATCTTTCAAATTAATGTATTATGTTTTCTTCCTGTACTCCATCTCATATAGTTTAAAATGAACAACAGCAATTGAAATTGGTTTTAAATCTTATCATTCAAATGACAGGAAGTAGATAGAATTATTTTGTAAATTCTTAGCAAAGAAATAATACAAAAAGTATGTCAAAATAGGAATGTAGTTTTCATTGATTTGGTCAATGAGGAATGTGCCATATAAACTCTTGAGTTTAGTAGAAACCTTGTAGATGTAAAGTGACCTTTTTGAGAAAACAGTAAAAAATGATTCTGTTCTTTTGATTGCTTCAAAAGCTAACCATACAAAGAATACAGAATAATTTGCTTATTTCTGGAGAGCTTGATCTAGTAGGACAATTCATAAAGAGATTTGGATGTCCCTCTTGTTCAGGAGGGCTGGAGGGCTTCATATTGACTGTATACAAGTAACCTAATGATATGAATCCTGTTTGTCTCTTCCTCCTCTCTCTCCCCTTCCTTTTGCCTTCCTTTAGGAACGTGTCATTAACCATGCTGCAGGCAGCCATGGAGTCTCTGGGATTTTTATGAAATATGATCTCAGCTCTCTTATGGTGACAGTTACTGAGGAGCATATGCCATTCTGGCAGTTTTTTGTAAGGCTTTGTGGTATTGTTGGAGGAATCTTCTCAACAACAGGTTAAGATTCATTCCTTTTTTTGTCTAATTTCTAAAAGTTCTGCTAACATTAAAAATCAAGATGCTTTTACTTAAAAGGGGAAAGAAATATACACATTCTCATGTTTTGATACTTAAAGAACTTTTTCTTTAAGATTTAATTTCAAACCTCAAAAATTGTATTGATTAAGCATTACACATAACTAAGTTCACTGCATTCAGTGATTTATGGGAGATTACTTAGTGTGCTAGAGAGAGCCTAGGATTGGACCCAAGTTCTGTCATTTACATGGTGATAGCTTTGTGTAGGTCACCTAAATTTTCTGAAATTGTTTTCTCTATATAAAAATGAGAATAATAATATCTAACTTGCAAGTGTGTTATAGGATTAGATGAGAAAATGCCTAGAAATAGTAGATACTTTGAATGTAAATTTTCTTTTTCAGTTAAGGTATTTTTAACTGTACACAATGTAAAATTGTATTTTATGGTATGTTGAACTATGAAATATGTGAAACCAAATTTTTAGTCAGTAATGTTTTTATGACTTTTGGTCTTTTCACCATAAGATTATGGGATTCTCTCAAAGATAACTTGCAGAATTGTAATTGTGAAAATTTGATAGTTGAGTATAATAGATAAGGAAACAGTTCCTTTTTTATCCTAACCTCTATTTAATATTACATGGAGTTTATATAGTTTGAATTATATTTTTAAAATGGATGAATAGCTTTTCTTATGAAAGTTTTTATCACTGCTTTATTTAGATTCATTTAAATTTATGGTGCTAGTAGTATTTATTTTTCAAAATTGTGTAGGTGTGAGACATATTAAGCACCTTTGAAAAGATTGCTTTGTCAAGGCCATGAATTATGTGGCTTTGTGATTTTGAAGAGAAATTCATTTATTTTAAAATTCAATTGTCTTGATATTTTTGACTGTGAAAGTGAATAAAGCAAACTGTTTCCTTCCTTATCTATTCCTTTATAATAGTTTTTTATTCTTACTTACAAAATTAGGAAATGAATAACTTAGGAAGAAATTACATTAAAAGCATAATTTAATTAAAAACATAAACTTATTTTTTATTACAGGCATGTTACATGGAATTGGAAAATTTATAGTCGAAATAATTTACTGTCGTTTCAGACTTGGAGCCTACAAACCCGTCAGTTCTGTAAGTGGTGTAGTATAAATGGTGCTGATCTCTAAGTCATAGTATCATTGTTAAATCTAAATAGTAGCTCTTGGCGCCCAGAAAGAAATTGCCCAAAATAAAGTGTTGTGTTTAGAGGAAATAGTGTAAGGAATAAAACTAATGCTTCGGTCTTTTTATTCCTCCCTAGGTTCCCTTTGAAGATGGCCACACAGACAACCACTTACCTCTTTTAGAAAATAATACACATTAGCACCTCCCAAGTAAAGGAGAAAAACTTTTTGTCTGAGATGTAAAACGTTTTTAATAATAAAATATTGTGCAATATATTCAAAGAAAAGAAAATATGAATGAGAAGCAGGAATCACCCTAGGGGAAAAAAAAAAACGAAAAAAACCCAAACTGAAATCCTATGTGTGTTGTGTCTGTTACAAATGTCCTAGAAGAAATTATACAGCTAATCTAATCAGTGAATAAGCCCAACTGGAATATTGCGTTGAAGATGACCCCTTCTGATATTTTCATAGCAACGGCAGTATCGAAATCAAACCTTGCTTCTTGATGACAAAGAGCCTGAAGGAAGAAGTCAAACCACATCTAAAGAAAATGGCATTGATAAGTGCAAATGTTTGCATCTGTTTGTTTTTAAAAGATATGATGTCAGAATAAAATATGTAAAACATGTGGAAAACTAGTCTAGACTTTAAAAAGTGTGGTCAGGTCACATTGTTGATAAAGGAAGAGAGGGCGGGGCCCCTGTGTTATAGCCATATTACTGTTAAGCCATAACGACAAGACCATTTATCCAATAATTCAGTCTTAGGACGGTTACTGCTTTTCTTTAAACTCTGGCGATTGACTTTTCTGATCAGGGCAGGGTCGTGAAAGACTAAGGTGAATTCTTACAGGGGCAGGTACATAGATGCTGTAATATGTAACAGAGGTATCATTCACAAATTATATAGTGGGCACTTACACAGGGAGAAGAAAGCACATGTTTAAAAAAAATGCTAAGTTTCCTAATCTGATCCTTATTATTGGTATACTTTGGGAACAGGGGGTGAGTAATAAAAAGATCAACTACTAATGATGAAAATTACCAGTCTGTAAAAGATTAAGAGGATAAGTAGCATATTTTGTGTGTGTTGTGGTGAGTGGGCAACAGGGTAACTTTAAATAAAATAGAAGCATGAGGCAAATATTTAAGTAAGACAAGATAATGTCAGATCTGAGAGGTTATAATATTAAACAATGTCCGTTAAACTGTAAAACTGTATTATGAAAGAAGTATCTGCATTCAGAATGTCCTGAATGTGATTGATTTTGTATTAGATTGTGTTGGTCTAGCTTTCTTACTATTTAAGGATTGATTTTAAATTTATACACTATAAAAGATTGAAAATAATGAGAGGGGTATATCACTCAGGTGCTGTTAAAAACTAAATTTGGAATATGTGTGCCAATATCATTTTTCATTTTGTATTACTTAATGATAGTAGAGGAATCATCAACCAGTCTTCATGGTTTAAGTCATTTAGGGAAATGGGGAGACAAAATTCCAGGTAAGTAACAAGGCCAAGACTAAAAGACAAGATTTAAAATGGTGGTTTTTAGAGAACAGGCCATCACAAGTTAGAGTTTTTCAAATTGCATTCTTTTCAAAGGTAAAAGAAAAGTCAAACAGTTGGGGCAGATAATGTAATGGAGAGGAGAAATACTGATAGAACTACTTTTCATTCAAGCTTATGTGGAATGGTATTTTGCAGATAATAACAAGTGTCATTGTTTAAGATACACAGTTTATCACTGAGCCATTAAATTAACTGATTAATATAGGTAACAAACATGCTTTGAAAGGTTTTTGAATTCAGAAGATTCCAAATAATGAATGGTCATCTCCGTATTTCTCATTTCTTTTCTTCAGATATTATTTCCAATGAAGGTAGACTAGGAAAAGGAATTTTAATTAGAATTAAAATTTTAGCTGTTTTAGACTGAATGTCGGTTCTGTGAATCTGCTTGTCAGAAAGTTCAGTTAAGTTTCAGGGTTTTTTTTTTAATAGGAGGAAAAATATTGATTTAGAATTATTTTCTTTCAGTTAGGATTATGACAGTTAAGTATCTTTAAGAAGGATTTTAAAAATTATTCTCGTACTTATATATGATTTTTAATTGTTTCTGTGTTTTCCAAATACCATATTAAAATTTTAATGGAATTAATCTGTCCCATTAAAACTGACTATAAAAGGAATTTCTTCGAAGCAAAATCCTACTTTGCCATTGATTTCCATTTTAAAAGTTAAGAAAGGTTTCCACCTGAAACTCCTCAAATAGGGTCAGATTTGGGGCAATCAAAGTATTAAGATTCTGACCAGCGCTTTGTATGATGAATGATGAAGTATACTTGCATGTTAGGATTTATTAGGAGTTTTTGACCTCACCAAGTGTTTCTTTTCCACTGCAGAGAACACTGTACTGGCCTATTACGTAGCCTTGGTGTGTGCCTGGGGTGCCTCCAGTAGGATACCCAACTTTATTACTCAATCCTCTTTATTAGGGCATTCATAATATCTATATATATATATTCCATCCTAAATATTTTTAAGAGTTGAGATCTCAAATTATGTGAAATGTGGTTTTTTTAAACTGTTTGCATATATTGGCCTATAAAAGGAGATGAAACGTTTAGGTGAATAATTCTCTGCTACAGTATTTGTACACCTCAGACTACCTCCTAGTAAAAGCTTAACTCAATATGAGAAATACAAAATTATTTCTAATTCTCAACTTAGGTGATTAATACTACACTTTTCTCGTATACATTTTATGATATAAAGCACTGAATTTTTATAATAAATAATTTACTAATGCAGACAAAGTTTACAATCTTTAATACTAACTAACTTTGGAATTCATAAAGGAATGACTAAGATCTCCTAATTTTTTAATGGTATAAGTAGACATATGTTATGCATTGTCTTTTTATGTCTTAGGTTAGTAATTCAAGTAACAAAATAAATTTATATGCAACCCCCTTGCTTCAAAATTTAAAATTTTGAATCTTAAACTTCAGTTCGAGATGCATAATTTTGAATGTTCAAAAATTACTTAAACATGACTCTTAGGATCTTTAAAATCTCATCATGCCCTTTAACCTAGTACTTAAGTTCCTCCCTTTCTATTTGGAGCTGTAGCAAACCTTCAAAGTGAGTCACCTTTTGTCAGCACTATCCAAATAGATCACTATTTGTTCACTACCTTATGGTATGATGTCTGGAGTAATATCCAAGTAATTTCTTTATTGTAGTTCCCCCCCCCAGCCCTTTTGAAATATTTTAGTGACAGTATCACTTATCATTATTTTAAGAGTAGGAAACAAACTGCCTTGGATTTTTTGGTTTTCTTGTAGTTTTTTTATTGTGTTGTTTTAAGAGAAAAAAACCATAAAAGACTCATTTAGTGTCTCAATCCTGAACATTTGGACTCTAAATAAAATAAATTGTACAACTTCTTTGTCCCTTTACGATCATGTACCCCCAAATAAGGCTCAGTTCCTCATATTTTTCTTTTTCCTTCTAGGAAAACTACAGCAATCTTTATCACTCAGTTACATTTCCTTTGCTTCAGATGGAGCTAAATTGTTGTATGAGATTGGATTCATTCTGTATTTTTCGTGTTGTGAATGGACGAGTGATGAAAATTGAGCAGTTGACTCAAGTTTATAAAGCTGTAAGCAGATTATAATCAGCAAAACATTTAATAGTTTTGTTTCAGCAACTCCAAGTTGTACTGGATATTTATCAAAAGAAATTAGATGAACAATTCTTCCAAACATCGTAACTCATTTATGCTATTTGTGTAATGATTTTAAGGTAAAACTCAGAATGAGAAGGTGTGGGGGGAAAGTGTACATTGATGAAAGCTACATACTAAAGCAGACCTTCAGCAACACGGCATATAATTATGTAATGAATATTTTGTAAATTCTGTTTCCAAGCAACTATGCAAGTCAATTTGGTGATTTCTTGTATTATACTTACCTTTAATTTCTTTAAGATATTTTTCTAGGATTGATGAAAGTTCCCCAACCCCACATCTCCCCAACCGATTCACAGTTCCAGCTTGGAACTGCTATTTCAAATAAAGTAGGGACACACATAAAATGTTCACCTGTGTGTTAAGAGAGCTGTTTCTAGCTATTAAAACTCAATTTCAGTTACCTATCCTTTGTCATAATTGTATCTACACCTCACAGGGCATTCCTGTCTTTCAAGCCAGTTACATCCCTAAAACCAGCAATTTCTATTTTTATTTTGTAATTAAAAAATGTATTTTAGTTTATTTATTTTTGGCTGCCTTGGGTCTTTGTTGCTGCACGCGGGCTTTCTCTAGTTGCAGTGAGCAGGGGCTACTCTTCGTTGCGGTGTGAGGGCTTCTCATTGCGGTGGCTTCTCGTTGCGGAGCACGGGCTCTAGGCGCCTGGGCTTCAGTAGTTGTGGCTCGCGGGCTCTGGAGTGCAGGCTCAGTAGTTGTGGCGCACGGGCTTAGTTGCTTCGTGGCATGTGGGATCTTCCCGGACCAGGGCTTGAACGCGTGTCCCCTGCATTGGCAGGTGGATTCTTAACCACTGCGCCACCAAGGAAGCCCTATTTTGTAATTTTTAAAAATATTTTTTAAAAGTAATCTAGGCAGTGAGCATTCTTCCATATCTCTTTGTGGGCACATGGGACAGTCATTACTTTTTACTCTAGGCAATTGCTTATGTTCCTAGAATATAATTATTAGATTTGCAGTTACAGAGAAAAATAGCTGTGTGGAAATTTGCATGTGATTCACATGAACTTTAAAAATTATTGATGTTTTTGGAAGCTTTAGGCTGACGTACTTTGTTATGTTCACTGTGAGATAACACACTATTTGGGTATTAGTCCCTTCTCAGATCAGTCTATTTACCTTGAGATTCTACATCAGTTTATTAAAGTGAGCTGTTAACTGGAGATGACGTTAGGTTAGTATAAAATGTGAGAAATGTTTTTCTGATTTGTGTGCTCATCTGCCTCAACTTTTTCTAGTATTAATTGCCTCAGGTGGTGACTGTCTTCAACTCTGTTTGTTACTGTATCATATATCTTATGGGTGCAGAATATAGGGATTACCAAAACTTCTTTTTAAACATAAGCTTTTCTTTGTCCTCACTGTCCCCTTCTTCCCAAAAGTAGAAGGTTCTTTCTCATTGGAGTGTATATATTAGGCGCTCAAATTAGTTTCACTTGGTCTTGATGTAAAATAACTAGAGATTTTCTTTCATGCAGATACCTACTTTTACTGCTTAATCATCACAAGCTGCTTAATCATCACAAGAGAACTTTATTCATGTCATTTCTCTAATGTCACGGGTAGAACATGCTTCAACATGTAAATGTAACCCTATTAATGGTGTCTGAAAAAAATGAAGCGTTATGGGTATGTGTTAATTTATATTCAACTGGTAGTTTATTTAGATTATATTTTTCTAGGGAGGAGGTGGGAGATCAACTGCAGTAGTCAAACACTAGAAGAGAGGAAACCATTTTTTAATTCAAATTTTCATTTAATCAAGTCAAAATGTGAATACTTGATCAGTGGAATTTATTGAATTGGTGAAACATAAAATAATCAAAAGATAGTAAATTCTTAGAACTATTATGTTTTGTCCAATTTCATTGAATTGTATCTTGATTTCATTTTTATCATTATCTACAGTTTGTATCTTAATCAATGTAACTCAAACATATCATACAGACATCTCAAACTGAAGATATCCAGGTACTTTGTTTCAGAACTGGGTTGTCTGCCCTGGGAAGTAGTTCCCAGAACTTAGATGAGATTGGGAAAGACACTGCCCAGAAGCATCCCCACCAAATGCCCTTTATGAGGTTCAGAAAAATCTCAAGTAATATTGGGCTAGAAGTCATCCTCATGGCCCTAGTATACTTCGGCCACCTAGTGTGCCTTTCTGAGTATTAACCAGTTATCTCAGAAAGTGAGCATAAATATAACTGTCGTTAACATCTTATGCTCATGTAATTTTCAAGTAGTTGTGATTCTTTTTAGTTGCTTAGGCCCCAGGTACTGTATTTGAATCATAGTCCATGTTTTTAACACGAGATGCTGCAATCCAACGTGCACTCATCTCTCAAATATGAGGAAAGTTGGAATAACAGTTATATTAATATAGGATCTTGAGATTAGTTTTTTACTCATTTGCATTATACATAAAATATTTCTAAACAAAACAACACCTATTCTCTAAACTTAGAGTCACTTAATGAAGTCTGTCCTCTTCTGCTGCACATTCTACAGGTAACAATCTGCAACTGGAGTGATGAAGATACTAGCAAATCCTGGTGAAAGAGTAAACTTCCCCACTTACAGAAAAAGCTAAAACTAGCATTTAAAATTTTATTTGAAATTTTGCTTTCCTCAATGGCAAAGATCAGGGGAATGGGTTTTTACATGATTCTAGCCTAGGACCTTCCTCTAACATTAGTCACTCTAATCTCTGATCGAGGCCTGAGCAATATAAACTTAAATATAAAGGATTTGGAGACTTCAGTGAAGAAGAGGGAAACCCTTAGGAGGTTATCAGGAAAACTGGTGATTCAAAAGATTTAGAAATAATAGAGGTCAAATTCAAATTACGGGAACTAATTTTTACTTAAAAGCATAATAAACAGTCCCAATGAAAATATGCTTGAGCCTTCACTTTATACATAATTATTTACACCTCTTGGTTTTTTTTAGGTTTCAGAAGTGGGCATAGTTAAGGAAAATGTTAAATGTGAACCCACTTTTCTAATTCCCCCCAGCCCTCAACCAGGACTTCATGGTATAACACAAAAAGAAAGCAGAAACCTCGGTGGAGAATTATTTCTCTAACAGCATTTGTGAAGATGTTGAGACCTTCCTTCCTCTACTTACCTTGATTTTAAACCTTTATACTAAGTACACTAGAATGGTTCAAAGGTTAGAACTGCCTTTCTTTAGCATAGCTCAGCTTCTACCATGTATTCTTCCATGTTTATTGAGTTGAAATTAGTCCTCTCAAGGAGGAAAAAGCTAACTATGGGAAGATGGGTGTACTTTGGTGTTTTATATTCAAGAGCATAGAATAGAGTGTTAGGAAACAATGTTTTCCTAACATATGTATGATTATAGGCTAGGATATGACTTTCCTTCTCTCATTGAAATAAAAATGTGTAGTTAAGAAATAAGGATGAATACATGACAGCACATTTGACAGGTAATGACTTGGACATATTTGTTACTACCTAATCTTGAGAACCACAGTTGCTGTTTTAGAGGTATCTGAGAGGTTCCAAACAAAAGGAGATCGCCACATGTTCTCAGACCTTGAGTGTGCTGGACGCCCTAAAGTAGGAGAGGAATTTGTAACAAAAGCTCACGATGAAGAACCACACATTCCGAGCCACCTGAGATCTTGCAATGAGAAGGCGCCAGGCGATGAGGAAGAGGGCGGTATTAAAGAGGTAGTGAATATTTCGGAGCCTGGAAACAGACATATATAACCAAAGTCAAAATAGTACCAAATACCCAACTATGTTATTCGAAGCATAAATGTATATTTTCCTGGCTATGACCAGCAAATAACTAAGTGCTTAGGTATGTGGCATTACCTGATGGCCTTTTGATTTTGATCTCTCTCATTTCCACCACATGCCTTCTGAGTAATCATTTCTGTAGTATTCCCCTGACTAGTTTCCCTTTCTCATACCTGCTTTAAACTGTCTTATAAACATGGCTAACATAATCTTTCTTAAATATACTTTGATCATATTACTATATATCAAAAACCTTCCCTGGTTCTTGTTC